CTGCATTCCGCATTATCGTAAAAGTATGGTAACTCAAACTTATTATACCGAACTAAAGTTGCACAAGCACTTATTTTGTAATTATGTTATGTAATTTTCATTTTATAAAACAGTACAAACAGAATGAATAACGTTGATTAATAAACAGTATCGCCATGACGAGCTTGAAAAACTCTAAATACATCAATAACTTGCTGCGCCAGCGGTCACCACGTAAAAGTGTGCTTTAGGCGTGATCGTACCTTATGGAAATATTACACAAAAAGGCAAATATTGCATAATGCATTCTGTATTAACGTAAAAAATATTCAAAAATTATTATTTTATCCAAGAGGGTACTGTAAAAACGTGTACAGCGGCTTAGGCTTATGCCTATGACTGACTATTAATGCTTAATATGATAATATATATACATACATTTATATATATATATATATATATATATATATATATATATATATATATATATATATATATATATATATATACATATACATATATATATATATATATATATATATATATATATATATATATATATGCGTATGAATAATTATGTGAAGGTCAAGTTCTATTTATAGAGATTCAGTCGCGTGATAACACACCTTAACACACGTACGTCCGTCAGTCTCTATTGTAGACCGCCAATGTCGTTGTCTTGATCTCTGTATCTGGTAACTGTCATCTGCGCAATGCATTTCACTTTCATTATGATGCAGTCAGTAAAAATGGCTCCGGCAATGCCAATGTGTGGTTTTTCCAAACCGAAAACGAAAACCAGTTAACAGCCTTATATTTTCCCATCTACTTGCATGTATGTGTGTATGTGCGTGTGTGGTTGTTGTGGTTAGATGATTGGCAACAGCTGATGCGCGCTCACCCGGTCGACGCCGATGCCGCATGACGTGTAGGCGTTTGGGTTTTGCTCTGCCTTGTCTTCTTGCCACATCTTTTGTTTTGCGTTGTCGATAGCTTGGTAGTTTTACTTTCTTCTAATGGGCAGATTGTTAGCTTGGTATTTCCACTTGGCCCCAACAATAGTACAACAGGACGGCGGTCTTTGATTGCTTATTGTTAAATGAAAATGGAAAGTTATTTTGCATGCACATTGCTCCGGCGAAGCACCATACAAACTTATATTCGGACCATTCTCCAGTAGTCAGATAAAGAATCGTCTTTTTGCCAGATAAACTAAACTAGAAATTAATATACCTATCGCAACAACGTTAGTTAGGTCGACTGAAAAGTTGGCGACGCTTATTCATTGGTCTATTTAAATCAGGTTCCATTCAAAAATGCTCGCTCCAAATGGAAATCTACATACACGTGCACACTTACATACATACATAGCTATATTTACATTTGCCTTTTGTGATTTGACCGCAAAATTCTAGAATTTATTTAAATGAACTTTATTTATTTTTTAATTTATTTTAAAATTTTTAAGAGTTACGATTTTTAAGAGCATACTTGTATACATGTACTATATTCAAGTTTCGTTAACACCAGAAATCTTTGGAGTGTTTTTGGGATTATTATATGCATATAATATACACTGGACAATATTAGTGATCGTTCCCTTATGCTGCATCATCAGTGGTTACTTGAAAGGTTTCAGTGCGAACGTTTTTTTTGAAGTGTATGTATGCCCGAGTCTATAGTTCATTTGCTGGTGAAAGTTTTTTACCTGCTAAAAATTGTATTTGTATATCTGCAAACTTATTGTATTTGTGTTACTTTTATTATGCGAGCTATAGCTTATCTATTGAATATCAAATAATTTACATTTGCTTGTCACCTGTGGCCATTTATCACTCTGGTCACAGTGCCTTTTGTTTTATACACCCAAAGGGCGTATGCGTGCATGTAATGCGCAAAAACTATATTTTTGCTGGATTAGAAACTAAATAGAAATCCGAAAGCAACGAAAGACAAAAATTTAAAAACCAAACACGTGTGCACAACTTGCCGAGTCATTATATTATTGAATTTTTATAAGCGTGCTCAAATTTGTTCGAAGCAACAAGCTTAAAAGTCTTCAGTCTCGTCCATAGGGAATAAAAAATTGACACTGAAAATATTGAATGTGTCGACACCCCATCATTGACTATCAAGTGGGTACAGGGTATTCAAGAGTTGAGCCCTCAACTCTAGCATTCCTTTCTTGTTATGCTTGATACCTCATTTTTGAAAATACTCCTCCTAAGTTAGGGACACCTGAAATTTGGAAAAAAAAAAGTTTTTGCTTTTGAAATTATTAGATAGTTTTGGGTAATGGTTGTCACACATGTACTACATATATATATATTTTTCGCGTCAACAAAATTACCATTAAAATATGACATTGACATAATTCCATCAGGGACTAATGACCATTTGCTTTTCTTATAATTTTGCTACATTTTAAGAATATATACATAAGTACATATGTATACTAAGTAACGTCTGAGACAGAGGCCCAAAGCTGTACCATATTGACATATGACACGTTCCCAGAAACTTGACTGGTGTTGATGTCGTTGTTGTTGGCTGGTTTGCTGTATTTTCGTTTAAGTCAAGTTCAAGGACTGTCAATTAAATTGAAATCACTTGCTAAAGATGCGACGTGAGCAAAACAAGCTTCAGCATGCGTCAGTGTCTATTTGTATGCCTTATTGTCCATCTGATTGTGTAGCTGGCGGTAGCATTCTGCGGCCATTCGGATAGAATTAACTTGAAGACTTTTTTGTTGTTGCTTTTGCTTATGAAACCATTTATACCACACCAAATACATTGATAAATAAATACATAACTATGTACACACATTTTATATGTACATAGTTAATGTCTATGCTTCTGCTTGCTTCCCAAACCCAATACTTTCTTCCCGCTCCTTTTTAAGAAAATAATACAAAATCTAGGCTTGAAAAAAGAACTAATTTTATAGTTTTCGAAGATTTCCCTATTTGGCAGACTTTTCTGCCGGTTTACTCTAAGGTACTCTTGTTGAGTCTTTTAATAGTATTACCTGATCTGCCTCTTAACATTATCAAATATTTTACTATTTAAGGTATTCAAGCGCAAAAGTATTTCTAATCACAGCAGTCTAAGATATATGTAATAGTTTTTATACATTTTTAGGTAAGTATGTCGTGTTATGGAAACCTAGGTACCAACTTTAGTCAATCTAGCTCTTGTACTTACTAAGATCCTTGACTCGTCTTATCGTATTAATTAACAATATAGATAATATATATTTTTCCTGGGGTCTGCCACGCCTTCTTCTATGTGTTACATACATTCGTACTAAGCTTTGAATACAGGGTATAAAAAACATTGCTATTAAAAATTGAAGTCTAATCAGCTATATATATATATATATATATATATATATGTTTTGTTATTTTGGAATTGTTGGATCAGCGATTTGTACTAAGCTAAAGACGTAAAAAATGAGGGGCATTCACAGTATCCAATAGTCGGGTGTACCGAGCCGTTCGTATGTTTTATTTATTTTCAATTTTTTATGACAAGAATTTAAATTAGTAGTAGTAAATCTGGTTTTCGATTTCGAGTTCGTTTTGGCTAGTGCTCAATTTTCGTTTGTTCTTCTTTTCTCACTGTTTCTTATTCATGTTTGCGATGTTCTTACAGGTGTATATTGTTGCCAAATTGCTTTTGTAAGCTTTTTATACTTTTTCAAAGTTTAAGAGTAAGCCTACTTACTCTTATACATACTATGTATGTGCTTCTAGAAGGAACAAAATGTATATGTGTTTAAATTATTGATCATCACGAAAAAAGCTTATGTCGGCGTATGCCAATATGTCCTATGCCAATAAGTCATTTAGTTGCTAAGCTATTACTGTTAAAATATCACAAGGATTTTTGCAATGCCAGTTTTATCAGATAGCTGCCATTGGGATTACTGACTATAGTGCTGTTTAAGTCCTTCCCTAGTCAGCGGTTGGGGGCCTAAACGGATCAGATTTAATATTCTTATAAAATTTGTTTTTGTATTCATCAACCACCACAATATTCCTAAAGCCGAAAGTAGGTGATAAACATGTATAAAAGATGCACAGAATCAAAAAATTTTGTTTACATAGTATTTACTCGTACATATGGAAAAGGTTTCACTTTGCTTTTGTGTTTTATATACAAAAGACCATTTTATTTATTTTGAGGTTACATATTTTTTGCTATATGCGTGGTGTTAAACCAACTCTTACCTTAAATCTGTTTCTGTTGGATTGCATATATACATATACATCCATTATATTTATTTTTCTTTTCAGTAATGCATGTAATGAAGTGAAATGGAATATGTATGCCTATATACCAAGGTATGTATATGCATACATAGTATATTTTTTTATTTATATACATACATACGTATATTTTTAATGTTCTCTTTTGACTCTCGACTTGGCTTGATTTCAGGGCTTGTGTTCTCTTATCATCATCTTTAATGCGTACGCGTGTTTGCACTGCGTTTGCTGATTGCCTCTTGTACTTAGTTTTTTTTTCTGTTTGTGTCTGTCTTTGCGGGAATAAATATTTGAGCTCAATAAGTTTTCACTCAAGGCAGTATATAGCCGAAACGCTGACGATTACGGAGCATTTAGATTGAGTAGATAAGTCTTCGCTTTCTCTGGTGCAAAAGGAATACCTAATGAAAAATCGTATAATTCATAGTTTCAAATTACCATCAGAATTTCAAGTTGATATTTAATATTTAGCCCGCTTCCCAATTCCTTACAAATTCTCATCTTTGAAGAAAAGTGTAAATTCTTATAGGTCTGATTATTATCATCAATAGTTTTTAATGATCAAACGAAATTTCTGACAAGAGGGCAGAAGTTGGCGGCCTAAGACGACAAAAAAAAAAAAAAAAAACATTTTGTTGTATTTGTGGGGAGCATATAGTGAAGTAATTGCCTTAATTTTTAACCCGTTTGTGCCAAATAAATTTAAATGTATATTAAAATGATTAGCTTGTTTGTCTTCAAAATACTTACGTTCAGAGGGATTTGTGATTAGTTAATTGTTCAGCAACGTTTTGTGTTTTCATTCTGAATTAATAACAAGTAGTGTTAAATAGTGTGGTTCATATTAACTTCATAAACATGTTTCATGTAATAATAAAAAGTATATGAGCACTTCCACAAATATCATTTCAATTATTAACGTCTCACATTCGATAAATTTTTTTGTGTGTACTTTGTGTTTTTATTATATTAATATAATTTGTAGATTTATATACATTGCTAAGAATAGAAGTTGGTGTTTTAGATGTTTTCAAAAAGCAATATACAAATTTGCGATTGTGTTGATTGCCGTATAGCCTTTGTTTGTCTTTTAGCAGCAGACGACTTTAAAGTGCCTGCTGGCAAAACATGTGTACACAATAGTATATGTGTACCTGCATATGTTCAATTTTTGTGCACCAATGTGCCCAGGTAGATATACACGTATTATACAAACAATTTTGCGAGTAACTGATCATTTGTATTTATTATTAGGTTTGAGAACAAACTTCTTGAAACTGAACAATTTTGGGTAAAATGATCATAAAATGTAATCCGTTCGCTGAACTAAGTGTGCACTTGCATTGAGAATTGAGCGGCAATAACTCGAGAATAAGCAAAGTGCGGCTCAATTTATACAGCAAACAGCAAGGCTATGGGTTAGTGTTAGTGTTGTATCTGAAAGATACACACGATCGCAGCACAAAAAAGATAACAGCAACGTTGACTAAAGAGCGTACATCGGCAACGAGAGCGAAACGAGAGTGAATTTGCTTTGTTTCTCACATGTGTGTGTGTGTGTGTGTGTGTATTACGTGCCGGGGCGGCGCTGTTATCGTTACGCCTGTGCAACGCTGTGTGCGTGTGCGCTCTGTATTTGTTTATAAATTAGTAGTAGCTGCTATTCGAAAAGCGCAGTATTTTCGGAGCTTTAACACATGTGGGTTTTAAAACACTTGGCCTACGGCACTCTTTAATTTCGTAAATTAAATTTAAACTCGAACACACGGCGCTGTTGTAGACTTATAAGTAAAAACTTGTTCGCCGACATAATAATTAGATTTATCCAAATTGAATATGCACGACCTACATACATACATTTGTATACGTAAAAGTTGTTATATTCATCAAGTTCCATACGCGCAACACAAGTAAACAAGCAAATAAATATAAAGCCAATGATGTATGTATGAGAGTATCTTCATACGTACAGACATACAAGTATTCAAATACATGTATAGTTTATTACTTATTTATACATACGTATGTATGTATATAAATAAAATTGTGTGCGTGAATGAATGCACATGCCCAACAACACAAAATACATATTAACAAAATACGGCGCACCAACTGAACGCAAAAAACAGGCACATATACTTATTTATACATTCGTACATACATACATATGTATACAAAATACAAAAAAACACAAATGGATATTACCACCACTGTCCTTCCCCGCAATATTTTAACACAATGGTTCATGCATGTACATACATATGTACATACACACGCGCACGCACGCACACACTTCATAAGACACACCAATAACTCGCAAACGCCGTCCGCACGCGGTCAAAGGCAAAACGAAACTGAAAACGTAACAGCCGAAACTTGGCGATGCGGTGCTGTTGGCTGTTGGCTGGTGTCGCCGCAGTCTAACAGATGCCGCGCAAGCTTTTGCGTTTGGCGCTATGTATGTTGGGGCGATGTTAAGTCCCTCCACTGTTAAGGGGCCCGCTCTGCGTTTGCGACTCGAAGCATGCATGTCTGCCCACAATGAGAACATACCAAATTGACAAGAAGTACAATCAGCTCCAGACCGGTACGCCGAAGTTTTCATACCCTTGCAAATGAAGTCATACGCTTCTGAATAACAGTTTTTTTTCTTTACCAAAAGTAACCATTTGTGAAATAATTGGCAATAAATTTCTAAGCTTGGCGCCAACTTTAGTAAGCAATAATTTTTAAAGCATATTAGTTAAGAGTTTAGTGTGCGAAAGTATTTAACACACGAAAAGAGGCCAGGAAGACCCCACAAAGTACATATATTCTTGATCAGGATGATAAGACGAGTCGATATAGCCATCTGTCCGTTTGTATAAGCGCACGAACAAATCAATTACCAATTCAAATAACTGTTTGGAACACATATATATCATAACGATAAATACTTTTGAATGGAGTACAGGAAAAGAATGTTTAACGATTTTACGAAAAAGTTGCACGATTAATTGCCATACATACAAATCTTGTTTTTCAAAGATTTGGCGCCGAAAAAGTAGAGTAATTCTTCATTCTGTCTTTTTAACTGATCCAACATACCATTTACTTTTAATTACCAAAAGAATATGTACAACAAGTTTTTGATACAAATATTCTACTTAGATCACGTTTCTTTTAAAGCTATATGATACACAATACTTGTCTGACATATTCGACCTCGACATACTATATTGCACTGTTGTAATGCGGTAGCTCCAAAATTCACATTAGAATAAGCCTCGTGATGGGGACCAAACACTAAAGACATTCAAACATTAATTCCTAGTGTTAGACACACCCAACGGTGCAAAGAAAGGATACCTTTGAAATTGTTTAGTTATTTTCATTTACGTTTTGTATATATTCATATTTGAGACAATTGCATTGATCAAATTTGATTATATTGATTATTTGATTTGAGCATCAACTTGATTCTTATATGTCCCTCAATTTGAAAGGCCAAGCACGGTCATCAAACCTTGAATTTAATTTGAAAATCAGACAGGCTGGCCCGAAGTACCGAGTTTTGTTTGTATAGTCAAAAAAAACCAAACACATTAAAATAAAATATCTGAGTTTTAAGTTTTAGTGTTATACATTTTATTCGTCTGACTGTCCGTCTGTTGTATGAGGGCAAGAATGTCGAAAAGTATAAAACCTAGAATAACCAAACTTGGTATTTGATTCTCCCAAGCCAGAAAAAGGAAAAGGAAGAAAATGTATGTTTTTTTCTGACGCATCCTCCCACTCTACCTCTAATGAATTTCCATAACTAGCATGTAATTCTTAGAATTTCTTACTCAAATTCGATAATAACATCCAGTTAGAGCTTTTCTGCCATCAAATTTAATATGTTAAATATTTGGAAAGATCTAGTAATGTAAATAATATGTAATCTCTGGCCAAGCTGATGTTGTTGACGCAACTGCATCCAAAGTATGAATCCTTTAGCAAGAGAAACATCTACAAACGAATTAGATAAGCTTTGATCAAAAATTAAAATAAGAATGACAAATATTGGGCGTGGCATTGTCATCAAATTGTTTCGGAAATATAGTGTTTGGGTTTCGAGAGATGGACAAATTTTATTTTATGGTGTCGGAAACATATCCTTCTGCCCATAACTTACTTTACATAAACCTAATATACTCTCTGACCCTTCAGGTACATCGGATAAAAATGCAAACTGCCAAATCAATCAGCATATGAAACTGAATTTTAAAAGGCACATGAAATATGCAACACCCGTAAGCCCACTTCTATACACCGTTCCATTATTTGGTTTGCTAATTTTGTGCTTTTGGCGAGATTTTTACTAACCAATTGGGCCAGACATCCGCTCCAAGTGCAAATAATATAGTGTGTAATACTAGTTCATACACTTTAGATATTTATGTATGTAGGTGGACCTCTGCGTTGATCCTATATATAAATAATATACTTGTATTATAATTGTGTATATGTAAATTAGGTATAACTAGGTAAGCCAAGCAGAATTGTGCATATTGTTGATCGTGCATCCTTATCTGTTAAAGATTGAGGCTATTTTCAAAATCGTCGGATTACATACATATATACAAGCTCTAACTGGGAAAATAATTATAATCCGATTTTAATACGCTTTCTTAAAAAGTAATAAACATCAGTAGAGCCACATCCGAAAATAACTGGTTTGCTCTGGTCATAACCAAATACATTCAATAAAATAAATAATTTAAAAAAGTGCACACAAAGTTGTGCGAATGCCTCGGCTGCATTCTTATGAATTCACAAAAGTAAGTCAATCAGAGGGCCGGCCCTCTTCAAAATACACGTATAATTAAAGGGATTGCGCATGATGGGAATTCTGTGGAACTTAAGCAATTATCGGAGCCTATAATATACACATTCACGTATTAATAACAAGGGCCTCGCCCATGTCACTCGTTTTTATACTCTGTACATGAAATGTACAGAAGTATATTAGGTTTGCGGGAGCTGAAAAATGTAACAGGCAGAAGGAGGCGTGGCAGACCCCACAAAGTATATATATTCTTGATCAGCATGACGAGACGAGTCGATCTAGCCCTGTCTGTCTGTCCGTCCGTATGAACACCTGGATCTCAGAGACTATAAGAGATAGAGACACCAAATTTTGCACAAAGATGCGTTATGTGTGTATTCTATACGAGTTTGTTTTATTTTTTTGATTTCCCCCCCTCCTACTTCCCCCCTATGGGGGTTTTCCCAATTTTCCATTCGTATAATCGCCTATATCTCGGAGACTATAAGACCTAGGAACACCAAATTTTAGTCCAAGATGCCTTATGTGAAATCGTCAAAATGTTTTTTTTTAATTTTTTTATTTTTTTTTATTTTCTATAATTATTGTAAACATATGTACAGAGTATTTCAAAGTCGGGACACCCGACTTTAGCTTTTTTACTTGTTTGAGTATATATCTGTCCATGTTTGGTTCTAAACAATTTTTAAAACGAATAAATACTTTTAACAAATAAAGGAACACACAAACATACAGGTATTGAAGTTACGCTTCAATTATTATTGTGGAGTGCAGGCACATCCCAACAACGCATTGATGCTGCCAGTGGAGAGAGATATAGGGACAGCACAACAATATTTAAGTGTTGTTGACCCTGTCCAAGGCCCGTTAGCTTCCACTGTGCCGAAATTCTTAAAGAGATCAATCAGCTAAAAGTCGGTTTTATTTTTAATGCTCGTGATTCATATGCGATGCGTGGATCGTATTCTCTCTTGTAGCCCTGTCAAAGCCGTTCGTTGTATATTGGTAGGCTAATGCAAAAGAATGTATGTATGCTTCTGCTAAATATTATGTGTATACCCTGTACCCAAAGGGTAAAAGGGTATACTAGTTTCGTGCGCATGTATGTAATACACAAAAGTAGGCGGGGCAGACCCCACAAACACACAAGTGCATATGTAAGAGCTCTTTGTTTTATTGTTAAACTTTGATATAATTACAAAGTGTTATTTAAATTGAATAAAAGCAATTCTTACCCATAAGAAAACATATCCTTCAACCGGGGAATAGTTTGGCTGTTAGTATTATTTTTAATTAATTGAAAAGCGTAGTCAGTTATTCGTCTAATCATGGGTAGTATAATTATAACTAGTCATGCTAACTCAACTCCGTACTGCACACATTCTCACCCACAGGTAATTAGGCCGAAACTTTTCTGATCGCTTGTGTTCCTGTTTCCTGTGTTTTTATCTCTACCATCCAAAAGAGGCTCGTCCTTTAAAACCAAGGCGAGACTAGCAAAAAATTTTATTATTACACAATAAGCACATAATTTTCCCTAATAATTTCCGCAGTCTCTTCTGTCAAACTAAATAGTTCTCTCTTTAAAAATTTAAAAATCAATTCAAAAATTTACTGTTTTATGAGGTTGTACTTTAGCGAATGCTAATCCACTTCACAAATGAAGAAATCACACAACGATCTAAAGATGACGCGCCTGCAGGACGATGTTAGACTTCTGCGCCGTGAGATCATCGCTATACGCAAGGAACAGGCGCATGGCAAGCAACGGCCAGATACTGCTCCTATTAAATATTTATCCCCGAGCACTGTTCATATCAGAAGCTGCAAGAAGAACAACATAGCCGGTCGAAAGACGATAGGTTCAATTCGCAGGCTAAAGCTTAACGTTTCAGGCGGCTCTTCCCAGCGGGCCAAAATAACATCCGATATAATTTCCAAACAAGCATTTCGCATAGAACAGCAAAATCTACTGCTGCAGCATATAAAACAGTATTATGTACGTCAGGTGGCTAGCATTAAAAGTAAAACCCGATTGTTGGAACATCAGCTGCGGAAACTGCAGAGATCTTTGCCAATTGAGCTCCAACAACGGCAGAGTTCTTTGGCTATACAGAACTATTACAGGCAACTATTAAATGCAGTAGATGATTTATAAATGTGGATGTTAGGTGTTAAAATTTTTTTTTGCTAGTACTTTTGTGGTGCTTATGAATAATGCTTGGGTCTAAAGACTTTACTCTCGAGCAGTGCGCATAAGCTGCACAAATGATCTGAATTTGTTTTTTTTGTATTTACACAATGTAGAGCTATAATAAAATTATGCAGTGATGTCAAAATAATTATTAATTAATTATTTATGCAAAAAAAAGGCTATCAATCTTTTAAGCGTAATTAATAATAATTTGAAGTTCAATTAAAGTTTATGAAGTACATGCTCGTACATACAAATAATGCCATCTGTAGCAATATATTTTCTATGATGGCTATTTGGTTTGCCTACGACAATGCTTAGATCTAAAGACTTCGCTTCGAGCTGGAGCTATTAAGTTGAAATGTACAAGTATTATAAGAAATATTGAACGCAATTATATCGAAAAGAATAAAAGCTAGACGCCAGACTCGGTATAGTTGTCCAATTATATTGTTTTTGCTACGGAGTATGCTTTATATATATATATACATCAAAAAAGGAAGCGCTAAATGGATGAGTCCAGCTTAATTTATTCGGAAGTTATTTTATCACTGCACCCTGTTTTCTCAGCAGCACGTGATTTTCACTTTTGATTTAGAAATATTTATTTACTTTTGCAACCTGAAATATAGAAAATTGTAAAATTAATCGTGCACGAGTCCAATTTTGCGAATCTTTAACAAGCATAGTCCACCAAAATTTTCAAACTATTCCAAATTCTGATTTAATCATCGACCATGCCAAAACCGCAAGATCGTTCGAAATCTAAGCAAGCACGACTAGAGCAGGAGGTTGAATTGCTGCGCCACGAGTTGGCCACGTTACGCTTTGACAGCGACGAGTTGCAAGAAAAGCACTCGGCCCATTTACGCCACTGTGGTGGTGGCGAAGATTGTCGTCAGTTACAGAATACAGCTCTCACCCAAGCGAAACGCATTAAAAATCAAGACATTTATATAGCCTTCCTCGAGGAGCAGATTCGGCAAACGCGTACTAAATATGAACAGAAAATTGGCTCTGTCAAGGTGAGTGCCAATCTCCTGGATGTAGAGCTGAAAAAGGTTCGGAAACAGTTGCACGACATTTCAAGCAAAGCACAGCAGGTCGACAAGCTTGAGCAAAAGCTACATGGACTGCAGCAAAAGTTAAAACGGCGAGACACCATTATTGAGCACTATAATTCACAGCACACCGACATTATGGCCATCATACATGAGCTGCAGTCCCGAATAGGTACTATCAAGCCAAGCAGAACGATGGGTACCCAAACGATCCAAGACTTGGAGAAGGAAAAGGAAGAGGACAATCATTTGGAAGTAGCGGGGACCGATGAAACATTGGATGTACAATTAGCGAATGAGTTTAGTTTTGCCTTCGGAATGGGCTATAACACAACTACTAACTTTGCTAATTTGACCTCAGCTCTAAAGAATAAGTTAAAAGTCCACGCAGCATCATCGACGGGGCAATGCGGCAAACCAAATTAGAGAAGGAAGGACCTTTCTTCGGTTTCCTATTTTAGTCTGATTAAAAAGCTAATACATATATAAAAAAGTAGTTGCGATAACAAGGGCTAGCTAGACGACTGACTCTTTTTATCACAGCTAACAAACTAGGGTAAATAATTACCCAAAAATATCACAAATATTTCTTTTTTATTACATATTTAGCTTCTGTAAAGACTATGATTACAATATGTAATTGCCTTTTTTGAGTAATGACAAATTTTCACATGTGTATAATGAAAAATTTATAAATATTCTTTTAAATTATGCTTTGACTGCAATACGTATTTATTGAAAAATATATTTATGCATACATTACCTCTCTGCATTAGAAACAATAATCAATATAATTCCATTACAAGTAAGCCTTTCATTCGACGATTGTTTTGCGCAATGCAAGAGAATGTAATGCAAAAATGACGCACAAAAGCACGTAGCATGAATACTTTATTGTGAATCAGAGCCAATTCCAAAAAAGTCATGGTAACTATAGCTATTGAATTCTAATTCATTCTTCGATGCACGCAGAAAGTACATGCTATTGGCGTTTGTCTCTCGAAGTAAATACATACATAAGTGTACGAGTAAGTACAAGTATGTAAGTTTTGAGTGCTGACCGAGGCAATTAAAATTTAACACGCATCGTTATATGAATAAATTGCCAATAAGGCCAGGAGTTCACGCATGTACTATGTACGAGTATATACACATATGCAGTTTGTAAGACAAATATAGCTAACTAACTACAAGTTTAAGCGACGTGCCAAGAAAGTACAAAGTTGAAATCCTTGATACCCTAAATCTTCTGCACTCATATTAAAAGGATTTAGAAAATTTCGGCAAGCGCAACCCGCGATACATTTTGGAAACCCTATAAAACATACATAGCATTGTCCTGTCCAATGATATTCCAATAAGAAACAATAGTTTCTTAAGGAGCTGTGTAAGACTGTTATTATTAAAAGCCTTAATGAGAAAAATGTTACCAAAAATAACAAGATATGTTCAAAAAATACAATTTCCTATAAAAATTAAGTTTCGATTACCCCGGTTTCCTTAAGTTGCGTTTACCAAGTTCGTAATATTCTTATTATACGGTGTTATACGGCGAAGATGGCATATTAGAGTATAGGGATATTGTTCCTGTTAAGATACTTGTTAGTATTACAACGTACATAAACGTTCTAAAGGGCGGTGTGAGATATCGAGGTTAAACTAATTGACGCGCAATCACTTTAACAGTGAATGGGATTAGTTTTATTAATTAGTTTATTTTTATCTTCATTTGTAATCACATCACTATGTATTTGCTAGATGGATGTAAGCTAATGGTTGATTTATTCATCATTTGCAAAGTCAGCGGGATTCTTGCGCAACAAAGCGGTATGGCGGCGCTCGGTCAGATCGTAGATGAGGTAGCCAATGATGAAGGCTGCAATACAGTATATAAATATATTATTAGTGTTCACAAATTGTACATTCAAATAATAACTTACGGGGGGCTACAATAAAAATATTGGAGCGGATGCGTCGCACAATGTTGGGCAGGCCCTTGCTGATGGCACCGGCAAAAGCGCGCTGCTCGAAGGGTGACAGCTTGTAGGTAACAATTCCATGCACTTTGGCAAGGTTGCCAAAGTGGGCGCCGTTCAAAATCGAGGTAAGACGCATCTTTGAAGCTGTAGACATTTTGACGATAGAAAATTATTTATGAAGAACAACATAATAAATTCACGATTATTTGAATGAAAATACATATAGTAATTATAAACATTTTACACTTAGCCTCAAAGAGGTTATGTAATTTGTGAACTTATAATTTGCCCGTAATGTATGATGTGCTCGTTGCACTCGCAAAGAATCGTTCTGGCATATTAACAGAACGCGGAACTTGTCACATTTTTGGCACATTCGTGATATTAATTTTTTTACCTTGATCAAGTTGAAAATGTTGTGCCTTAAATTAGAAATAAAATTTGACGTCCGTCCTCCTGCTGGGCCTGCTGTTGTTCTGTCACCGACCTAGAGATGTGCGTAAGCTTCGTGTATATCAGCTGTGATGAGAGAGCGTTACCAGACTAGCAGAACTAGATCGGCTCAACATTTTGAACGATTGAAACAACACAGAAAGCATTTGGGTTTCTGGTGAAACATACAATTTCATCCAACAGTACTTAAAAAAATATTAATATGCAAGACTTTAAAGTTTAAACGGAGTGTGCTTCGAACTTCCCCAGCGCGTTGTATTAATAAGTAGCGTAGCTAATTATTCCAACTTGAGAACTTTCAATTTGTTAATGTCGTTTATGTTTTTATTTTTATTATTTTACCGTCTTATCGTTGATTTATTTTTTTTATATTTTTACAAAGACAAATCCAATCATATAATGCTTACAACGACTATCTTCTAGAAAATAAATTCTAGACAAATTATCAGATTATTAAAAAACATAAATTTTATCTACCTACGTGGATGTAGTTAGCTGTAATTATTCTTTATTCTTAATCAATTAAACTCTTTTATGCTAGTTGTCACTTTAGCATACATCAATTTTGTGTTTTGGTGTGTGTATTTGTCGGAATATGTGTTTATGTAAGTGTACAGAGTTAAGCCAAATCAGCAACAACAACAGCTGCGGGCAGAAATTACACTTATGGTTAGAACTTCATGTACATTCCATTTGATTAAATCTAATACCAGAAGGAAAACATTGTTAAATTCACTTGTGCTGCATATACTCATATTTTGGTATCTTGGACTAAAATTTGGTATCTTTAGCCCTTCTAGTCTCCGAGATCTAATGTGATTTTAGACACATAAGGCATCTGTGTATAAAATTTCGTGTCTCTAGGTATTCTATGAGGTTCATAGGGAAGAACAGACAGGCAGGGGTAAATCGACGCGTCTTATCATTCTGATTAGGAATATTTATACTTTGTGGATAGCGCCACGCCTCCTTCTGTCTGTTACATTTATCACTGAGCACAAATCTAATATACTCTTGTACCCTTTTGGGTCAGCGTAAAAAAAAATAGTTGTATAAAAACTAAAAGAAAGGAGCTAATAAGATCCACAAGAAAATGTGATGTTTAACGAGGAAGGATAGGAACAAGTTCCAAAAGACTTTTTAGGAATTGGCTACAAAACTTTGCAGCAGCTTTATCTTTATAGAGTTTTGACATTAATATTTATAGTACTTAATACTGGAATGTGCATTAATTTAATTTGCAAAGGACTGTTGTAAACTATGAGATATTATAACTTATATATACATATTTACATACTAATATAATATTGGTACAACAATAGGCGACAAGAATTCACAAATATGGCAACAATCAACCTTTTTAAATGATATTAAAAACAATATACAAACGTCCAATAAAGCGCATTAAAAGCTAAAAACATGACTGGAAAAACGCAGCGGGAGCGTCTATCTATCCACATGGCAATTTCCTGTGGGGTCATGGTCGTAAACGTGTGCTCCTTTTCGTTTTTTTTGTCCTTGTCAATATCTACAACGTGATCGTTATTGGAATTATGTTGGCCCGATTCGTTGTTTGTCACAGTTCCGCTGTCAGCACATTCTGTCGTTATGATAGGCAGCGTCTGATATAGAAAACGACACATCATAAATAGAAATATGATCGCCTTTGATTAAATGATATTTAATACGAACATGAACAGTAAGATAATTATTAAAGCCCGCATTTACAGTTCCATTGCTCACGCTCACCGTGCTCGATACAATATTATCCAAGCTGGAACAAGAGCGGGTCCGGGACTCGTTGCTTAAATTACCGCCCATTTGACGGCGCGCCGGCCTCGGCGTCAACGTGGATTTTATAATATATTTACTGTTTGCAAATTAATTATTTGTAAGTAAGATTTCAATTGACTTTTATTTATACATTTACCTGTTCACCTTCTTTAGTTCAATATTCTCCTTGCGCCGCCATATTGTATTGACAAATGCGAACTCCACGAGGCTACCAAAAATAAAGAAAGTGCACCCCAAAAACCAAACTTCTGATACCTTTATGTAACTAACTTTTGGAAGAGTCTTGCTTTGCGACGAGGACAGTGTAATAAACGATAACATCGTGCTTGTGCCTATGTTAGAAACAAAACAATTAAAAACGAGTTGTAATGTTATCTTCGTCTGCTCTATAAATCTTTCCCTGTGTCGTGAACTTTTCATATACTCTACTGTATCAACGTCCGACTTACCCAACATTATGCGTGGCGGGGAGGCATCGGCCTGCAACCAGAAGGACACCCATGAGATGGCGACAATCATCATCGATGGCAAGTAATAGTCCAATAGATAAAACCCAATTTCACGCTTCAAGTCGACCGTAAAACTGAGTGAACTATAATCGCCCACTATAAAATAGAGTTACCATCATTCGCAAATCAAATTTAACAAATACAAGTGGAAAAGCTAAAGTGTTAGGCCCTTTTAGGTACAGAGCATAACAACTTACTGAATGCGCCATGCCGCAAATTGACATTATCTGAATGCACAATAGTTGTGTTGTGCCAAAAACGGGCCATATTGTATTCCGTCAAACGCATTTCGGGATCAAAAGATATGGGCGAATGGTCCTCCCATTCGAGCACCAAGTCCGACGTATTGTACATCCCTTAAAGACTGCTATTAATATCATGTCAACTTACAAGATGTATTTTGTTATATGCTTACAACTTTCTAAGTGGGTAGAGCAAAATTGCTGATCAAAAGGAAACTTCTTGAAGTTCATCCAACAATATAGAGTGGCTTGCATTCGAGTAGAAATAATAACATTTCCATCAGGAGATATTGATGTCAGCACATCCTTCTCGTCGGTTCCCAAAATACCCGATTCACGTTCATTTGCAAAAAATATGTGTGGCAACCATAGGCGTTCGCTCAAATGCTTTTGGCCCAAAATGTTATCTCTTCGCTCCGGCGCATATTCTTTGTAGGCTAAGCGCATATCCAGAAAACTTAATTGTAAAAGCGCGTGCATCTTAAATTGGAGCAAGTCGGAGTTTAGATTTTGCAGAAAGTATACATAAATCCTCGTCTTGACAACAATGGGCATACGCTTCAGGGTCACATTATTGTATTCTGAAGGAAAATATAAATTCTTCTTTTCAGTAAATATATATTAAAATTACATCAGTTTTATTTCCAAAGCCAAGTTGCCAATAGAATCAACACGTTTCCAAAACTATCGAAATGAAAAAGTACTTGCAAAGTATCAAAATTAAGTTACACCGTTAACCAATTAACAATTTTTGGTGTCTGTACCTGTAGCGAAATCTATATATTTGACACATGTTAGACGTCCTTTGTAAATTATACATATCGGTATGCAGAAAGTTAACAACACGAGCCAAATGAGAAAAAGCATGTGAGCGTGAACACACATCGGTAGGATTATTTTTCTTCACGTATACATATTTCTATTGGAAGACAATCTTAATAGCTTTTCGCGTAAGCTGCTTTTCTTTACTGGTGGAAACTAGACTTTTTTTAAGTTTAGGTTTCTTGGCAGGAGGAAATCGCATCCACCGATTATGTCTTTTAAAAAAATTTAAATATACGCATTTTGGTTAAAAATTGTGTGATTGATTTGTGAGTGCTGATGTTTGTTAAATGTTGCTATAAATCAGAACCATTTATACATACCTATTGGACGCTCCAAACGATCATACCGGCAAACGTGCGTTAACCTTTGAATCAGTTGGGTTTGTTGTAAAGTCCCAGCATTGGACAATGGAGGGCACTCTTCGCCATCTACGGTTTCATTTGCCGCGCTTAAACATAAATACAAATATAAATATAGTAACATAAGATATACGTTTAAAGCTATTAACACCTATGATCTCTGTACACAAAAAAATGTGTTTTAAAAAAATGTCAAAGTTATCATAAAATTTAATAATTGTCCAACCTAGGACAGATCTCATAAAAGAATAAATATTAAAAAATATATATTTAAATGTAAGACAGCAGATTTCCACTGTTTACATTTGTCCATTGGAGCGTAGTTTCAGCGGAACGTATCTATGTATTTGTACTGAGCGCTTCCCAACTTGCATTCTAGGTATAACCGTAGGTTGTTATAATAACTTAGAAGTTAATAACATTACTTTCATATAGTATGTGTTTATATATGCACACTTAGAAAGGTCGCAGGAAGGGTTTGGAAATTTAAAACATTTAAATACTTTGATTTAACCAAATGAGAAAGGTTTTGAACATTTTAAAATCAACCCGTTTTTCATATACAAGTACATATGTTTGTATTTATACAAATGGGATCCATTTGTATCATTGCTAGTATATTTAAAGAATATAATTAGATAGATAATAGAATTCATTTATCGTTGATAGGAAGAAGTAAATGGTTGGTATAGAAATACTATTCGCATTCTATTATGCTATTCTGCTGATTAAACTCCTTCCCGTCAGAATAGCAGAGTCTGATAACAAAATGGTAAGGCGTTTAAGCTACAGCTGCAAACAAAGAATTTAAAATAATTTTTTCTGCTTGCAAGAATTTGTTTTTGTCCATCTTTGTATCTTTTGCACCATATTTTATCACACAATGTGAAATAATATAGAAATACTATTCGCATTCTATTATGCTATTCTGCTGATTAAACTCCTTCCCGTCAGAATAGCAGAGTCTGATAACAAAATGGTAAGGCGTTTAAGCTACAGCTGCAAACAAAGAATTTAAAGTAATTTTTTCTGCTTGCAAGAATTTGTTTTTGGCCATCTTTGTATCTTTTGCACCATATTTTATCACACAATTTGAAATGAACATAAGTACATAGCAATTATAATGTAGTTTTTATCAGTACAAATTTTTTGTCTCTGACTTTACAATGTCATTTCTATTTCTTGTTTAACTCTTCTGTAATTAAAATCTATTTATGAAAATTTCTTGATATTTTTAAATGAATTTTTTCACAACTTTGTAAGAAAGGAAACTAGCTTTGAGTCTTCAAAAAAAAAAATTATAATTTAGTTACAGGAACAAAATATATATACTTACTTCACAAGCGTTTGTATGTTGATAAATATTAAGATCACTAATAACAAAATTGTACACTGCTCACAATAAAATATTTTCATTTTAGAAAATATATTACTTTTGTTCTACAAAGAGTATGTAATTGTTTATTATTTACGTGAGCGCGGCTGTAAAAACACGGCTTTTACTCAACTGTTTGTTATATATGAACACAAGTATACTATCGCATTACATTTCAAGACCCTGAATAACTCCACCATATGCACAATCATTTCGAATACACGCCATACAATTTACACGTCCTAGCTTGCCAATGCGACTTTCAATCGTCGGATTAAAAAATTAGTATATCGCAGCTCCTTTAAACAACACAGCGACAAGGACGACGTCTCTGTTTCACGGCAAATGTGTTGTTGCTGTCGCGTCTGTTTCTTTGGTTTTAAGCTCGGGCCGCGTTTGCGCTTCGTTAAAATAGCCTTTGCTGCTGCGCAAGACGCTTCGGAGAGAACTGAAAACAGTTAAGAAACCGCTTGATTATGCGCGCGCGACTCTGTCTAGCCAAAAAGTGATTGTTGTTGTTATAGTTGTTTGTATGTTCCTATGTGCTCTCGCTGATAAGGTAAGTGACTTTTAACGCCCGTGCTGTTGTTGTTGTTTCCTACACATCGCCCACACGCCACAAAAATTGGAATAGAACCTGTATGTTGATACCCATGTATATACTTGTATGTATGTACATATGAATGCATATACTTGTAGGTAGATGTGCTCTCCTTTTTTGCGGGTGTTTGCTCGGCCTATGTGTAAAGAGTTGTCAGCCGTTAAGTAGCGCGCATACGACACTGCAGGTTCGCTAGAGATCGCCTCACTTTTAAACTGGCCGGTTCGAGGAGCTGCAAAGATACATATATCAGCAGCAGCAAATTATACTATATTATACAATATAGTTATATCGGAAGCGTTGGTGTGCGCATTATATTATTGGGCTTTGTAACTAATGGCAATAAGTACGAGATACATATGTACATAAGTACATATTGACTTTTTGCAACAACTGAATGAAAAACAAACCGGTATAAAAGTCAAAGATAAGTCATAGCATTAGAAGCAATAACAACTTACTATATGTTAATTAATGTGTAGTGGCTTCCAAGACTACGTTCGCTAATTCTTGTTGTTTTAGTTAATATATAGATCGATGATGCATCTCTTTCCAGCAATGTTGTATGTGTATATGCGAATCGTGTGGCATTTGCTCCTTAAAATGTACACAGCTGCAAAATTGTAGTTTGTAAATAAACATTTAATTATTTTTATTTGCTTAGCACGCGATCCACGCCTATATGCACAGTTTCGCATGATCTGGATAATTAATTTATATAATTTTATGGTTTAGATTTGTTGTTCATTAATTGAAAAAGTTCAACAAACTTCTAATAAGGTCTTTACCTTAAGAGCTAATGAGCAAGCAGACGAATTGATAATTATGCTAGATTGCTTAGACAATCTGTTAGTACGCGGCCTGGCATGAGGTTGAATTATGATTAGTCTTTCGAATTGTTTGTATAAGTAATTTTAAAAAAATTTGATATTCCGTACAAAAGCGCTACGTGACAAATTTGTTACAAATGGTTTATTTAACAGGACAGTGGAGGTTAAATGAATTTTCAACATTAGGCCAAGCTTAGCTTCAGACCTATTATGAACTGTTAGAATTATTTTTAATGCATACAGGCATGAGGGAAAGTGGAGGAGGGTGAGGTTTTTAAGCAAATACAAGTATATTTTTTTTATACCCTGTACCTAAAGGGTATAGTTTTGTGCGAATGTACATATGCAACACATAGTAAAAATGTATTCTATTGAAATTTCAATAGGCTACTGTTTGTAATAGCTGGGGCGGACGGAATGCGATCAATCACATCGTCTCGTTATTTTAGGCGTTACCCTTAAAAATACAGGGTATAAAAATAAATTGTAAATGTAAATAGCATGTAATGGCTACCTAGCAGTCGTTAATCATCAAACATAGTATAATATATTCAATATATTGTGTAATGGTTACCAAGTCAAAGCCTACAAGCTACTAAAGCTAAGCCAAACCGAGTTATGAATGAATTTGAATCAACATCTCAATTAGCTTTATTATATGAACATAAGTAAAAATGAAAGTGTATTGTATGATCTTATCTTTACGTCTATAAAAATCGTATGCATGCCAAAGTACGTTTGAATAGACTACTACGAAATATTCTTCGTGCGATCCCTTTTTAAAGGAAGCCAGCATTCACGCCAAACAATGTACATGGGCTCTGCTGTTTAGGTCAAAAGAAATTGTTATCGTACGATATTAAGAGTATGTTGGTATAAATGTGCTATCGGTGCCTTCTTTGTGGCCCGGCAAGCGGTAGGTGTGACTTGTTTTCTTATTGTTGTCGGCCAGGGGCAACGGCAATAGCTCTGGGTAACACGGCGTATGCGTGTTTTTGTGTTTTTAGAGGTTGCCTTGTATTTACTTGAAATTTTATGGGTCACTGAATATTGACTTTAATATTTGTTGCACTTGCTATTTTTCGGATAAATATTGACCATATGTTTAATTATTTGCAGAGCGCGCATTAATAAAAGTTGTACTGTTTGCTATTAATTTATACGATTTGTACGTGATTTGTTCCTTTTGCATTTTGTCAGACTTTGGAGTTTGCCGCTACAGACGGTACATTACATATGTTTACCTAAAAAAAAATTTTATACATACAAGTATGTACACGCGTGAACGTTTTTTGTAGGTGTACTATACATACTATGACTTGACTACATGTATATAGAATGACTCATGACTGACTGAAGTAGTAAAATTTTATCTTAGACGACGTTGACGCTATGCAGACAGATGCTTGGCGTTGATTTGTCAGCGGGTTGATCATTAAACAAAGAAACGCAAATACCGTGCGAAAGTTTCTTTAATTAAAAATATTGTTGCGTCTGCGTTGAACCAAAGAACAATCACGAAGGCAATATACTCGTAAATATTGAAAAGCGAATATGCATACAAATAAACAGAAGTACGTAGAAAAAACGCGCTGATAAAGTTAAATATTTTGTTATAAATAGCAGTACAAATAATCGAAATTAAAAATATTTCCGCACAGTATTGCTGGATATTTTATTGTGTATACGTGTGTAGGTACATATATTTGATTACGCAGATTGCAACGACCGCCGCCCATAGATAATTAAAATTAGACAATTACTCTTTATCTATTGGATTGTGGCTCTAATATTAGACGATGACATTTACTAACAGTAGCTATATACTGGGCATAATCTACTATACTAGATTGCCTGCTTAAGCATGTTGCAAGGGTTGTCCATCTAGTTATACCCTGTACACAAAGTAAAAGTAAAAGGGTCTATTAATTTAGTGCGAATGTATGTAACACACAGAAGGATGCGTGGCAGACCCCCAAAAGTATACATATCACTACAAATAAGGTATGATAAGAGTCGATATAGCCATGTCCGTCCATCAGTCCGTCTATCTGTGTAAACGCAAGGATCCCGAAAAGTATAAGAGCTAGGATACCCAAACTTGGTATCCGGATTCTCCCAAGACCGAGATTGGACAAGTATATGTTTTTTTTTTCTGATGCACCCCACCTTTCCCATTTTTCGTGATTTTCCCTAACTCCCGTAATTCTCAAATTCGACTATAGCCTTCCCATCTTATTTATCTCTGTGTGCTTTTTTGGCAGTTGCTCTAATGTTGCTTCTCTTCTAGATAAGATGCCGACCACGTATTCAGAATTCAATGACGTCTTTGGTACTGCGTTAGTTGTTTTTGCCAACTTTATTTACTACCCTGCATATCTAACCTGGAGGCTTTAAGTAAACTTCATTTCTAACGAACACGTAATATTTTATTGCCAAGCGGGGTAATGGTGCGAAGAAATTTAAATTGTTTGGCCAATTCAATGAAGCAATAGATGCTGCATGCATGTCACGTAATAAAAATATTTTTACAACTTTTGCTGCTGAGTAGAGCACCCTAATATTTTTTGAATGAGTAATGAAAAGTTGACTGCTTGAAGCTTTTATCATTTGCTACGATTCCTGACGCGATTTTGTACTATAATCTGTTGTTTAACAACATGTTCTTTTTAAGAAGACAAGTATCAGTCAAATTGTTAACTTAATGTGTTAGCATTGTTTTATTCTCTATATCTTTCCCTTTAGAGCACTACTTGTGTGAAAGTTAGCTCTATATTAAATTTTATACCTATTACTTAAGTGCTGAATTGGATCATGTTACATACTCGTATGTACATAGACACTAGATCTTATGTACATATTGCTTAAATAATAAAGCTTTTATTAAATAAAATCGCACTAGGTTCTGTTCGATAATGCATTTTTCGTATTGCTTAGCATAAATTAAAGAAAGTACATACATATGTTTACAGTTCTTTGTTTAATAATTAAATAGTGAATTTTTAAATTCGAATTGTAGACAGAATTGATTAGAAGATAAGAGGATTCCTGAACATACGAAGTTGCTTGTCTAACTGTACTATAGAGTCAGAGATGCAGCCTCTTTCTACATATTATATATATAGTTTCAAGGAAGAAACGGCAATAAACAAGCGGCACATTGGAAACCCACACTCTGTTGACAAAACCAGCAGATTTTGCTCATTAAGATAGGATGCAATGACTAAGTCAAAACTGCCTTCTTCTACATATGTATTATATACATAATTTCAAGAAAGTATGCAGGGAGGCAAACATTTCTCGCAATCTAAAGTCGACCACAAATTGATTATTATAAAAAAAATTAACTTAAAATTTCGCTACAAAATGGAAATGAATTATATGTTTGGAAGTTATTATATTAAGTGTGTGCGAAAAGGCTTTTGAAAGAACGTTGTGTTGTATCTCTGTCTGGCTTCTTAACTATTCTTGCTTATGAATGGCCAGAACGCAAAAACACTCAAATAAACTCGAGATTGGGTTGGCTTAAGAAACTTAGTAAGATTTAGTTGTTTCTACCCCATATGTTTTTCTTTAGAAGTGCACATATCGAATATATAGTAAAGTTTTTCTTTTTGGACTTTGAACAAAATCAGCTTTTCCACAGGCATCTGAAAAGTGTGAGGATATAATGTTTTTTGATTTGTAAGTTTACACCCAGAAGGAAGAACAGTCTATTTTTGAAATATGATCAGGATGACGGGAGTAACCTTAATAGCGATACCCTTCGATCTGCTTCAACCACGATTTATAACAAAGTTATTTTTTCTACAAAATTAAAGTTACAATTTCCGTACTTATAGCATTACTAGCGTCCTGCTTCTGCTTCGCACGGGTATTTTTACAAAAATTTTAAAAATTATACATTTTTTAACACACATACTCAGTAAGATTTAGTTGTTTCTACCCCATATGTTTTTCTTTATCGAATATATAGTAAAGTTGTTCTTTTTGGACTTTGAATAAAATCAGCTTTTCCACAGGCATCTGAAAAGTGTGAGGATATAATGTTTTTTGATTTGTAAGCTTACACCCAGAAGGAAGAACAGTCTATTTTTGAAATATGATCAGGATGACGGGAGTAACCTTAATAGCGCTACCCTTCGATCTGCTTCAACCACCATTTATAACAAAGTTATTTTTTCTACAAAATTAAAGTTACAATTTCCGTACTTATAGCATTACTAGCGTGCTGCTTCTGCTTCGCACGGGTATTTTTACAAAAATTTTAAAAATTATACATTTTTTAACACACATACTTCTTCTTCTTCTTTTTGCTAGGAGTTACTAAGAAGGATTACAATTTATTTTGGATATATTTTTATTTTAATGATTTTTTGTTTGTTTTCAGATTTTTGGTATTCTTTATTAGGTCAGAGGTTCTCTGTAAAAGATATTTGATGTTTTACTTTGTGGTAGCAAAATAAATTGATTTTCAAGAGCTCCGACCCGTGAAAGGTCAACATACCGCAAAACATTGCTTTTGTATGTCGATCCCTACTAATTCGAAGGCTTGGCCCTGGGGCTACCGGAAATTGAAGCCATATAAATGAGCAAATGGGATCATCGGTATCCTTGGTAGGAGCTCCGAACAGGATAGGTCAACATACCGTAAAACATTGCTTTCGTATGTCGATCCCTACTAATTCGAAGGCTTGGCCTTAGAGCTACCGGAAATTGAAGCCATATAAATGATCAAATGGGATCATCGGTATCCTCGTTATATGAGCTAGTTGACCAGTTGCTGGGCCGTTGATAATGGTTGCTACATTTAAATTGTCTTGCAATTCCTTAAAAAGCAGCCTCGTCCATTGCACATGCTTGGAAGGCTTTAATTTCTCAAAAGCATGATTGCAATTCCGAATTTTACCGTCAATTTATGTGGCGGCAGTTCCGAAGGGTTTAGTGAATTTAAATGTCTTCGATATTAATCACGGTGTCGATCGATTTGTAATTTTTTATTTGGCTGGGGACTTTTGAATAATATTGCCTTAATATTTAAAGTGACAATGTTTCGAGGATTATTATGAACTGATAGCATGCTATTCAGGAGTTTTTTAAGGACATTTGTTTACACATTTGGTTACATTATTGGCGTTTTAGTAAGGATTCCTTTCTTTTTTGCAATATAAAATATAGCCCATGTTAACCGATAGTGTAGCTTCCCAACAGTGAAAGAATCCATTAAATCGATCCAGTAGATTCGGAGCCTTTTCAATTCAAACAAACAAACAATCAATTAGTATAGTTATATAAAATGATTATGCGCTGCCTTACCCAGTCGCACTGCAATATACACTGCTTTATCCAATCGTACTGCAAGTCGATGAACACTGCCTTACCTTCTCACACTGCTGGTCGATAAGCAATGCCCTACCAACCGCACAGCGGCTTATATCTAACTTAAACTGTGTGTGTAGCAACACCCGCCACATTACTACCTTAATCGCGATACCCTTTTATCTGCTTCAATCACTACAATCACGATATGTAACAAATCTTTTATTCACTTATTTTTACTACAGCCTTAAAGTTACGCTTTCCGTACTTATAGCATTATATATAAAAGTATTATCAATAGGCTTATATTGTTTGGTGAGTATTTTGATCACCTCCTGAGCTGCGCAACCTCCTGTAAAGTAATGTAAATATATTTATGAGTTTTTTTTTTGCAAAAAAAACCAAAACAACTACACTTGCCTATAAATGCGGAAACTGCATGTAGTTCTGCTCCGCCAAATCGACATATTTCGTGCAATATGTCGTCACTTATTGTCGCATGTAGTCCCAAATCAACTAACATTTTGCTTGCAATGCTCTTCAAGCGTCCAATATCCTGCTCCACAGTACAATCGCCTGGAATGTTTCCGCATTCAGTTAGGAAGCGCTCATAGGCGCGTAAAGCGAAGTTGTAAGCAGTGAGACTGCCCTGTAGTTCATTGTCTTCCACTAGAATATTTTACAGAAAGTGGTGTTATGAACTATTGCCACCATGAATTAAATGTATGCAACATACCCAACGATTGCAGACGACAGCTTTTCTCATACTCATCCGAAATTCGCGTGCCACGTAAAACAATCAACCCCGCAGCCTCACGACAAAGCAGACGAACTATGCGTTCATCAATACTGTCCATTGGCAAAGCCAACGCCTTTAGATAATCCTGGCACTTGTGATAAACATGATCGGCATCTTGCGCCGCCTGTTGTCTATAAATGTGCTGCAGAGCTATATAGGAATCTGTATTGGCTGTCATATCAGGCAGCACACCAGGCACTGGTAAATAACCTTTATTCTCTTGCACCACAAAATGCTTTAAAGCCTTGGCCATGATCCAAAAGGCATCACTCTGGAATAACACAAGTTTTTAAATAAGTTAGGACTATGGAAATATTTGTTGGCACCTTTTTATGTAACTGCTCGCATGCGTCATCATCGAAAATTTCTTTGAGACTAAGAGGTACTAGACCAGCTCCAAATGCTGTATTAACCGCCTTGATTGCCTCCTCGTAATTCTCCTCGTCGGCTGTCATATCGGCTCTTATCACTTCACGAAGTTCCGTTTTTTCCCTGTAATTTGACGGCGCCTGGCAACCGCCACCATTCTTGGATTGCCAAGCTTTCAGGTATTTGTAAAGAACCAGCAACCACGGTACTTTACTCGTAACCTCTGTGCTTTCTAGATGCTCACGTAACGCCTCGAATGGCTGCTCCAAGCGTAAATCGAATTGACGGTTATCAGGATGCGCTTCAATAATGCAATGCTCCTTTAGTTGTATACGTATAGTGCCCAACATGCCCAAGGAACGGCAATAAACAAGCGGTACATTGGAAACCCACAGTCTATTTGACAAAAGCAGCAGAGTTTGCTCATTAAGATTGGATGCAATGACCAAGTCAAAACTTTCGAAAAAGCTTGGCCGATTAGCCAAAATATAGTCAATGCTCTCATCCACATATTCGCCATTGACATCTGGATTTAGCTCTTGTAGTAGTTGCATGCAGGCGAGGGCTTTTGATTTTCCTATGTAGCTGGCATTTAAAAAAAAGCTGTGGCAACCAAAAAAACAATAAGAAAAATCTTTTAAATTTTCTTCTTTTTAAATATAACTTCTTACTTGTTCCCTAAATCCATCTCAGTCACTGTACTGCCGTCCGCCACCATGAACCCGCCTATACCGGGCAGCACCAAGCCTTTGGCTGTCTCACATCCTACAGCAGTCACGTTGACCAAGCAGATTGTTGCTGCCTCAAGAAGCGCTTGTCCGTGCTCGCCCCAAAGTCTGTACCATTTAGGAAATGTGGGTTTTAACATGTCACCACATTTACCCTGATTGTATTTTTATTTATTTACCTGATTTGCCTATCATATTTCTTGCTTTTATCCGACAGTTCGGGCGATTTTGGCGCTGGCGAAGACATTTTCCATAGGGATGAGCAATACCTGTGCAGCAAGTATTCATATCACAATCTAAGATGTATTAAAAGGAATATGTTAAATCTGTCACGGTTACTATAATGTGGCTGCTCAAACTAAATGAATACATTTTCACATTTGTCAGTACTTATTCTGCAAGACTTTTCAAAAAGTTCAATTAACTATCTTTATAGAATTTTATTATTTGCTATTCTATTTTACCCAGTGGAACAAAAATTGTAATTTCCATTAAATTTTTCAATACAATTTATGTTGTATCTTGTACAACATCTTGTATATCGATAACATTTACATTCATCGACTCTATTTTACAGTTCTTTGGACCACAGTAGAGTTAAACAAAAATTTGTTGTGTTTATCAACACTTGTGCTTGAGCTCTCATATTTGCATATATACATATTTTCGTAAAAAAAAAGTAAGTGTGAAAGTGCACGTTTGCTGCAATTTACAAAATTGTTTGCGGTAAATAACAAAAGTAACTTAAGAATGAGCGCACCTAGCAGTAAAATGTCCGCAACTGACCAAATGCGTGCAATGCTGGATCAATTAATGGGAACAACGCGTAATGGCGACGATGCCCGTGGAGTTAAATTCTCCGATGCACGCGTCTGCAAGTCTTTTCTGCTTGACTGCTGCCCACACGATATTTTAACGTCCACACGAATGGATTTAGGTGAATATTATGTGATATTATCATTGACTATTAATGATATTTTTAAACATGGTAAAAGTAGCGAGACACCTTACGCCGATGTACTTGCCCTTCTCTTTTGGTTGGGGAGCACAACAGGTAGTGCGCATTCGCACTGCAGCCAGTTGCAAGCAACGCCTTGGTTGCTCCATTTGTCAAAGACCAATTTTTTAGGTTTTAACAAAAATCGGCTAAGCGCTGTTATGCTCTGTAACGAAGTTTAATAGAAATGTAGGTAATAGAACTAACATAATATTCGCATGTTTAGGTGAATGTCCAAAGGTCCACGATTTGGCTTTTAGAGCAGATTATGAGAGTGCATCCAAAACACGTGACTACTACTACGACATCGAGGCAATGGAGCATCTACAAGCGTTTATTGCTGACTGTGATAGACGTACGGATGCGGCTAAGCAACGTTTGAAAGAAACGCAGGAGGAGCTTACAGCAGAAGTAGCAGAAAAGGCCAATGCTGTGCACGCCTTAGCCGAAGAAATTGGCAAGAAGTTGGCCAAAGCCGAGGCACTGGGCGAAGCAGGCGAAGTCGAGGACAGTATGGAGCTGATGAAAGAGATAGACGAGTTACGTGCAAAAAAAATAAAAGCAGAGCACGAATATCGTACATCTATGCCTGCATCGACGTATCAGCAACAAAAATTACGCGTTTGCGAAGTGTGTTCCGCCTATTTGGGCATACACGACAATGATATTCGATTGGCGGACCACTTTGGTGGTAAGTTGCATCTGGGCTTTCTTACCATTCGAGAAAAGCTTATTGAACTGGAGAAAACGGCGGCGCCTCGCAAGGCAGAACTGAAACGCACGGGTAAGATACCAGATCGTGACGAGGATGCAAGGCAGAGAAATCGGTACTTTGTAGGTGGCCGTGAGCTAGATAGGCGTTCGCGCGTTCATCGCTCAAGATCGAGGGAACGCCAACGTCAGCGTGATGCAGAAAAGAACCAAAATGAGCGTGGTAATGGGCGAAGCGCCGAACCTGGACGCAGCACTGAAGGAGAACGTGGGGGTGTCGGCGGTCGTGAGGTAGATGGCGGTCGCAGTGGACGAGATCGTGAAAGAGAACGTGACGGACGTAGAGACAGAGATCGTGAACGCAGTGAAAGAGGGCGAGGTGGAGGAGTTGGTGATCGACATGATGACAGAAGGCGTTCTCGCTCCAGAGGTCGTTCACCCCGGGATCGCCGCAATTACAGCAACTTTGGCCACAACCGGAGACGCTCCCACTCACATGAGCGCTATCGTCGCTAAGGCAACGAAACGAATGGGCGCCAAGGCGGGGAACGCACGTACGTAGCATTAATCACTATCAACAGCAATTACCAATACTACAGAAACAACTAACTAAAAAATAAATGACGTTCAATATACACATGGATACAAAATCCACACACTCTTGTTAAATGTTAATAATTTAATTTATTTTCCATCCTTAAAGAAAATAAAGCTAAACATTATCCAAGCTAATTGTACAAACACAGAGACAGAAAATGTAAGCGAAAACACTTCACATATTTAGACCAAATTGGCAATCTCAGCCTCCCTGACAAGTGTTGATTTATTTCCGTATGGTATGTAAAGGCCGAAACTTAATTAGAACCCAATTCATAGTCATACGAAACAATTTCAACAAATTGCATTCGAAACTAAACTACTTTCTCAGCTCACCACGTTCTTCTACGACCCCTCTCTTTGCACTAAGTGAGTCACCGCCCCGGTATTTGGGCTGATTTCCCGTGTGTTATACGCTGCGTTAGGGTAAGCGTTTTGGACCGATAACTGCTATTAAAATCTGTAACCCATAAGCGTTCTTTAATTAAAGTGATTTTACAGCCCATATAAAACTGCGTATTCAGTTCAACGCTTGGACTGGGTATGTATAGAGTAAACATTAAACATCAAAAAGCCCTGTTTCCATTTTCAAAATCCATTATGAAATTTTGGCCACATTCTCATATAAATGTTTTGGGTACGTATTCATCCTGCCGGCATTTAAGCCATTGTGAATGTGTGTGTTGGGTACGTATGTTTATATCCAAAAAGATGTAACGGCGACGTTGGTACGTATGCTCTTCAGTAGAATTCACGCAAGCGTTTTAAACTCAAACCTAATCATATAAAGAGCAGGATATTTTCTTCGATTGATGGCTTATCTTGACTTTGAGATTTAGCGTTGCTTCGACATTCATGCGTGACTTGAGCACTCTATAGGCAGTGGTGTGCATGTCAACCTAAGGAGCTCCAACTACGCTGCGCGTACGTATAAAAATTAAATAAAAAAATCGCGGTTCATTTATATCAACTCAAGCATTTTAACTGATTGTCTTTCTTATGGGAAAATTCGAATTCGAATCGAAAAAGGCACAAAAAAGATGCGGGCGCTAACATCTATGTATGTGAGTATGTGGGACTACCGCTAATTTCGTTTCTTTCGACAGCATTTTAACGATTACAAGAACTTTAGGTAGAATTCGTTTTAAAAAATCAATAATGTTTTGGGAAAAAAGTTAACAAGCGGGTAAGAAAATAATGTGAGTATGATTTACCTATAGCTCATACTATTTAAAAGATAACTCAGCCATTATCTGAGTTCTCTTTTATTGGCATCATTTTGGCAATAAACTTGATTGTCCTAAAATCGGACAGCATTTTAGGATTATGGCAGTTGTCATATTTTCTGGTCTTATACAGGCACCAGAATACCCGACAAGCTGCGTACCCAATAACTCATCTCAGGACAAAAGAATCATCAACTTTATAAGCTATAAGATTAATAAATCAATCAATTTAGGACATTATTACTCTCATCATCAATAATAAAATTTCTGTTATAAGTATACAAGTATGTATGTATATACATATATGTATATGTGTGTCAACATTTTCATCTAATACACTAGAGGAAAGTTAACTCGAAATTGATTTACATTTCATTGCATACTTGTTTAATTTGACAAAAGTCGGTAAAAATTATTTTTCCTCTTATCGTAGCTTATATTCTCTTCTTAGGGACAACAAACAACCATTTCATAATATTGCGTTTTGAGATTTTAATAAATAAAATAAATATTTTAATAATATTGTGAATGAAATTTGTAAAAACATGAAATAAAACTGAGTTGTAATAAAATTTAATCTATACGTATACATATATGTATTTAGTATTAGTTCAACCAAATAAAACGTTGTCGATATTCTTAAAAACTCACACACAATTTAATTCTTAGATGTCTATTCACTAAACCGTACGAACCTGAATAAAATATTTAATATCGACGTGACTTCGCTAACTATTTGTGGGAAGCTTTTATTTAACATGATAAATAAGCAATCCATTAAGGAGTGGAAGATTTCTAGCGATAGGCCCACTACCAAAGTTGCAGTTTTTATTGATCGATCGTTATTATATATGGGAGTGAGGCAGCATTTGTGCAGCCCGGCTCCTTTATGTTGAAAGACATATTTTTACTAAAAAATAATCAATGAATCGTGTAGATAAAGAAATATAAAAAATGATTTTCTTGTAATCTGTGTATGGTGGCTTTTTGTAACTGGTGAATTTGTGGATTCATGCTATGTAAAGTTGACAGGAGGTTGAAAAAGATAATATGTGCCCATCCAATAGAGTATCTTTACCTTCTAAAGAATACTCTCACTGTTATTATGCTAATTTGTAATATAACTGCCTGCTTACATCTGCCCCGCAACATCAGTAGGAAATAACATCATGCATGTCAAGAGCCGTTAATTTTCCAGAGAAGGCTTGCTTTATTACCGGATGAAAGTTTATTTGATTTTTTGTGTTACAACTTATAACATTTTCTGACACAGCAGAAAGTGGATGTTTTTTTATTGCGAATCTGTATTAGTTTTGGATAATTTTTTAATTAACATTACAAAATTAAGTATTTCAAACTACTGTGTGTTGTTTTGTTAAATTACGAGATAACCTTCTCAGTTTGCGTTCCATCTAATTATATACAAACAAATTTATTGTACGTTAATTTAAGGTCTTGACAACGTTTTCATTAAGTCATAAAATCACTATTTATAACTTTATTAAAATTTTGTACAACTGTTTATAGCTACTGTTGGGTTTTTATTTATATTCTGATATTTTTTTATACCTAGGCAAATTTTGAATTATTGGTCGACATTTTTATATCAATATATTTATGAATGTGTCTTTATAAAAAATATTATATGTAGTTTTCAAGATGTACATATGATGTACTAGCCCACGACTACAGCTTGTAATATTCATAATTGTTTGTCATCGTATTACATTACACTATTAGTTATCTGTTTATTCAGTATTCGATGGGCATCAATTCTGCATTAAAATGAATAGTTGCAATCTATATGGTAATACGAGTCGTGGTTTTACTTTCATTTTATTTTTACATTTAATGTTTTGTTTGCACTTTACTAATTATTTTATTTAGCATTCGTTTTTATACCCCAAAGGGTATACTAGTTTAGTGCGAATGTATTTAACACGTAGATGTAGGCGTGGCAGACCTAATAAAGTATATATAATATAAATATCAGGATGACGAGAAGAGTCTATATTACGATATCCGTCCGTATGAAGCCTAACCCAGCCGGTATAAGCGCTAGGCAAATCAAGATCCGTCCCACCACAATTAGTGATTTCCCAAATATCCCGTAATTTTAACCCAAATTTGGCAATTCCGAATAGTGGTTCTGTGTCCGCCAATTTTAAATGAAGTTAGATCCATAAATTTAGTCCCTGCCCGCAGCTGTTGTTGATATTGCTGCTTTGGCTCAATTCTGTACTGCACATATACAAAAACAGAGACACAACTGATGCTAAGCATGCATTACATAAACATATGTAGCATAATTGAATTAATTAATTTAAGCTAGAAGATTTTAGTTGACCTTTAAAAACCATTTAAATTAATTGTTTTGTCGAATTGGATACAGGGTATTTAAGAGTTGGGCCTGGCCGACTCTAGCATTCCATTCTTGTTTCAAATTAGATATTTAATTTGGCATTTATTGCTCGTATGTTTAATTACTACTCAATATCTTTTACTTAAGCTATATGATATATATATGTACTTGAATTTCTGAATTGTACATGTTATTTACAATTTACATTTCTTTATGTATATTTTCCTGTATTTGCATTGTTTTTTAGCGTGCTATTTGATATTTTGTTATTTCTAATATAACGGATTTTGTTCATAATTTCAAATCTGTATCTCCTGAAAAATTAAAATAGTTAAAGCTAACACTTTCTTTGCGGCGGCAATCTAAGATTTGCCTTTTTGAAATATAATAATAAAATGTGAAAATTATTCAGGAAGTCTTTAAGTTTATTATGATGTGAATATGCAGTAACGGAATTAAATGTAAATACTATTCGAATAAAAAAAAGATAAGAAAAATTATGCCCGACTTTTTTAAAATTAGATACAAGACTAGTTTAAAGAGCAAGGAAATCGATAAAAAAAAATTTGGATGCAAAAAATTACAAAAATACAGTTTTGGCCATTTGCCAGGGCAGCATTGGTAATTAAAAAACGTTCTAAGGCTAAAAACTAATATGTATTAATAATAAAATTATCGAATTTAATAATGAGAGGCTAAAAGCTAGATTCACACTAAGGTGGACTCGGATGATCACCATAAGTGTACGCTGATTGGTTAGTTAGTTTTTTGTAAGTGTAACTGTGTGTGCTAGTTTGTATAGGCCATGATATAGTTCCGTTGATGATTCCGCTGTTCTTATCAGTGTTTCAGTCCTTTGAGTGAATCGGTATCACATATTTATGTCCGTACGGACTTTTGTACTTAATGCCACAATCACGATAGAATTTTTCCGGTATACCTAAATTACATAAAAATAATCTGCCACAATTGCTTGTTGACATTGCTGTTGCTTCTGAAGGGGTAGCTATCGTCGTTGAAGTACTTGGTGTTGTCGCAACTAAAGATGTTTTTGTTGCTGTAGATATGCCATTCAATGGTAATATGGGTAATATTGAGTACTTGATAGCAACATCTTTAATGCCACACGGTGGCGGATCTAAAGCAAGAACTGATGCTCTGCAAACGGGAAAAAAACATTACATTTCTAATTTCAACGCTTGTCTCTACTCGCCTAATTAAACCAATACATTTTTTCGTAATATACCTACCGATTGACACTTAGCCATTTTTTGACGCCCTCTGAAAGATGCGAAGTGTTTGTAGACAATAGTACAAGATCTGGCGTAGGTAACGCTGAAAGATTGATATAAAGTTTCAGACAAAAATCTTATTAATTAAAATTGTGCACTCACAATCAACAGCATGTACGACGGTGTTATCTGTAGCTTTAAACAAAGTAAGTTCAACGCTTTTATGCTCCAACAGCTGCGCTTGTTCAACATAAAGCGACACGGTCAGACCATGTGATGCCAACTGGCGACCTGTTGCCGCTCCTACGTTGATTGTTTTGTTAGATGAGAGCGAATTATCATTTACACCATCACATATGATGGCAATCTTTGGCCACTGGTGATAATTTGTTTGCGTTAAACGCCTCGCACCGCCTAGCAACGTTATAGCCAAATCGCTAGCGCCACGCGCTAATATATCCATCTGCCGCTGTAACGACAGGCCCGCTTTATCAGCGCTCAATTCGATCTTATTACGCACAAATGCCGGTATTGTAGGTATAATGAGACCATCGTCGGTTACAAAATCCTTGCTGCTATCAAACAAGCTTTCAATCTGACGTAGCTGCAGTGGCTTGCTTGTCAAGATGTTTTCATCATGCCTATACTTTTTCTCTTGCTTTAGCTGAGCGCGCACCGAATGACGCACCACGTCTGGTTTTTGATGCGTTGACTCAATATCATCCCAAATGGCTTGCTTGTTAAATAGAGCCAGGTTGCCTTCGAAATCAAAATCCTCCTGCGGCAAATCATCAGCATCCGTCCCAAACGTTTGTTGCTGCTGTTGTCGCATACTGCTCTCACGGCGCAAGCGATTGCGTTGTTTGTTCTTGCCATTTGCGTTACAGTTTCCGTTAACATAAGAGTTGTTTTTGCTGTTCATACTTCCATTCCGTCTGCTACCAATGCTGGCATTCTGACCATTGCTGGAACTCGCCTGCTGACAGTGCGCACCATCATTCCCAATGATATCTATTGGTTTACTTTCGCCAGGCGTTTCACAGCACACGCCACTGCTGCTGCTGCCCTCCGCGCTACTGCTAAAGTATTTCTCCATCGGTCCAGTGATGCAGCTACCTGTTGCGCTGTATGCAGCGCTGCCCATTTTCACCTCTACCTTAGGCGGTATCATATTGCCGAAGAATGCGGCCACACTGTTTGGCGTGGTGACCTGCGAGTGTTGCAGTTGTTGTTGTTGCTGCTGCACATTGCTTGGCTTACTAAAACAAAAGTAAAATATTTTGTATTTTTTGTTGTTAAAATTTCAATGAAAGCAACAATCTTCAGACAATATTTTAGTATACATGCATACATAAAAACTAATAAAAATAACTGATAAGACCCATGCACTAGTTTTAACAAAAATAAATACATATGTACATACAAGTATGTTTATACAAACATACATACATTGTCGTGACTATTTTTATATACATTGGCTTCAACTTTTGTATACCCTGTACCAGAAGGATGAAAGGAGAAACTATAAAGTATAATCGCCGAATGTATATAACAAATACATGTATGCCGAGGCGAATCGGTATAATGTTCGTTCAACGCCCCAAAATTATTGAGCCATAATACGTAGGTGCACGAACTTGATATACAGACTTGCCTTGTTCAAATTCCAAGCAAGTTTATTAGAATATAGCCTTATTATTTTATAAATCTACTTAGAACGGTCGATGCAATCAATCTTGATTGCAAAAACTTTGTGGTTCTTAGGAATTGAATATGACAAAATTTCTTTTTAATTAAATGGCCGTAGCTGGGAAAAGGGATGGTACGTGGTATCGGGCATACAAGACTTTACTCGATTGTCATTGTAATAATATATGTACATATGTATATACCTTTGACATGTGATCTTTCATTATTGTTCATGGGTATTAACAAAAATCTTAAAAATGGTCTGTTCTGTTTTATTTATGTTAACTTAAATAAAAATATGATGATTTTATTTACCTCTGAGCGCCATTTGTGTTTGAATTGAGTTGTAATTGTTGCATTGTATCGGTCAATGTGGAATTCCTGCCTGTACTGCCAGAAGCGCCTTCAATGTCGCTGCCATTCCTGATGTCATAATTATTAGTATTACCTCTGCCTTTAACTTGTTTTTCCCGTTGCATACATTGTTGTTGTTTTTGGAGTTGCTGATGTTGCTTGGCGCCAAGTATGTTTGAGAAATTGGGCAATTTTACCGGTGTCGGTTTGTTAATCACAGTGGGCGTGTGCGATTCAGCATTATGTCCTGCAGCTGGCAATAGATTGATCTTCAATATATCAGATGATTGTAGTACAACTTCAGCGTTTTGCTTGCGCAGAGGGACACCGTTTCGAAAGGCACGAACTATTGTAATCTCCGATGCGGTAATGTCCTGAATAATGCCCTGAAAGACACCCAGCTCATCATCGCAAACAATTGAAACTGCTCTGCCTATCCAATCTTCCATTAAGGATATATATTAAAATCAACGTGCTCGACGAAAAAAGGTGAACGGTTTTATTTTCTGCAATTACTTTTGAATTTGCAGAACCCGATTGGAGTTTTTAGTATTTTGGTAGTAGTTGTTTTTATTGTTTTTTATTGGCAACACCTCACCGTGTATCTTGCACCTTGATTAAATGGATTTAGTTTGGCGGTTTTTTGCATTTGCCTATTAGCTGCGAAGAAAATTAAATATTAGTTTCATCGAGTAGGTCTAATCACATATGTACGTAACTACAGGGATATCTTTATTTCGAAACAAACATTTATAAACAAATCTAAGTATACACTGCAAATATAAATACAATACAATTTGTAATATTGGAGTTTTCTTCCATATTATGTACATAGGTATATATATATTTAAAAACGGAAACAACTATAAGCTAAAATATCCTATAGATCCTATTAGAATTTCTTTCATTCTATAATCGCGGCATTGTTCTTACTCGTTTTTGATACGCAATTTCCAGTTTCTGCTCCGCGCTTTTACTTTGCGCGACGCAGGCACCACAAGTCACACACACACAACGCACCAACACCACAATTAAAGAATATCTGCAATACCACTGAATCTTTCGATTCTGCGACGTTGATTATTATTTATCTGACTTTCAGTTATTTTCTAATTTAAATTGTACAAGTCTCTTATAAAATGCAGTTTCCCTCAACAGTTGAAATTTACTTAATTCATTTATTTATTGCAAGCGAAGCACGTCGACTACCTGAAAATACATCACTGAAAATTCGTTTTCTAACACCAACAAATGTAGTGCTGACAATCAATCCATTACTACTTTCAAGTATTTCAGATGACTACATTTGATATAGCGTATTTTTAACAAGCTTAACAAGAATATTTTTATAAACCGGCATATTGCTTATTTGTAATACTATGGATGGTGGCCCATAGAGAGGTATTCTTCGTATAAATTTTGTGATTCTGTAACAGAACAGTATTAAAATTGCGGATATCGGCTTCAGTTCTTGTGTGTCTCTGCAATGGAATTTTACCGCTTTTTACAACACTAGCACTCTCTAGGTCAGATCTTCGTTTTTGTTGCCATTTAATGTACGTTTTTGGCGTTGTATCGGATTCTGGAGCTTTTGAGTTAAAGTAATTCACAAAACATGTAAATTACACGCTGCAATAGAAAACACGAGCATTACTGCGGGACTATCTAAACACGCATATCGAGTCATTTTTCATTTACATATGTACATACATATATGTATGTACATGTCTACATGTATAAACGAGTTAAAATACTTTGGGAAAATTAAATGTTACATACATACATACAGGGAAAATTGTGATTAATGAGTAGCGCCACAGTAGCGCTTCGTTCTTGCCCAAGGTTTCCCAGTGAATGTGTGTGTTTTTGTGGAAGTACTGACATACTTGCAATTACAAACGACCAATTTTAATTTAATGTAAGTACATCCTTATATACATATATATGCACGAAGTTTATATGTGCATACATTCTATATATATGTATGTACATATGTGACAAAATTATGTTACAGCATAAAAAAGGTCTATAATTCATAAATATGAACGTAGGTACATACATACATATATATACTCGTATGTATATATGTATGTATGTAAGCGAATGCCAAAAGCCGGTGAAAAGACGATGCTGTCTATTAAAAGTTACACTTCGTCAAACTAAATGTCCATATCTTATGTATGTAGTACATATGTACATGTCTACGGTAGCGAGCTCGTATACATATGTATGTACATAAGTATATTGTTAAGCTTTTATACACATGTATCTACATACAAACTACTTCGCATCGGCTGCCGGCGCCGTCTCCTCCTTATTAGACAAAGGCGTGCACTTGTATTATCCTCATAAGCACCGTTTGTTTTTGAAAATTCTTTACTTTTTCCAAATTGGCTTTGCCGGCATTCTGGCAGCTGTTTTTTTCGACATTACATACATACATATGTATGCATGTGAATTATATCAAATGCGCTGCTTTTCTATATGGTATATTAAATACATACATACATACATATGTATGTATGTATGCGATAGTAATTATATCAAATGCGCTGCTTTTCTATATGGCATATTAAATTGATGCAGTGTTTATATTTTATTTACACTTCCGTTTCTTAGCTACCAGTACAATGGCAGCCGCATCCTCATCAGCTGCCGGCGATGTGCCACGCCCACCACCCCGTCGCCGCGCCGCCTCTGTTGCTGGTCAACAGCAGCAGTGTCTGTCAAACAACAGCTTGGAACGTGGAAATGGACACACGCCGCGGCGATCGTTGGCTTCAATGGTGAGTACTGGAAAGTCATTAGCAATTACATACATGCATACTTATTGAGATTTATTCAAATGTGTGTACATACATACATATATGTATATAGATGCATATATACATATGTATAGTACATATGTACTTATGAGGACGGAAGAATAAACATTATCCTTTACTAACCATTGGGTACACATTTATATACATACATACATACATGCAAACAAACTGACGTACATACATATGTACATACGTGCACACATATGTATGTACACCTAATTCTGTTTTTACACGGTCTTTTTTTAAACGGTTTTGATTTAACACGGTTTGAAAATTAAAAGTTTTCTATTCCATTTTGCACGAATAATTTTCCATATTATCAATGTGTTTTTTTTACACGGTTTTTATAGGGTAAAAAGCTGTACTAGTTTTGTGCGAATGTATGTAACACACAGCATGACAAGCTGAGTCGATATAGCCATGTCCGTCTGTCCGTCTGTCTGTCTGTCTGTATGAACGCAAGGATCTCTGAAAGTATAAGAGCTAGAATAACCAAACTTGGTATACATATTCTCCTGAGCCCGAGAAAGGACGAGTTTGTTCATTTTTCCCGATGCACCCCCACTCCCCCCCCCCCCCCCCCCCCTATTCGCAATTTTCTATAACTCCCTTCATTCTTGGAATTTTGAACTAAAATTTGGTAGACACATCCAGTTAGTAATTATATACCAAGTTTCATTATGATAGGTTAATCAGAAAGAAAGTTATAGCCATATAACCAGGCCCAATGCACACATACATACATATGTACAAGTACACAAAAACGCATAGACGCGATTCTGATGTAAATGTATGTATGCGTGTATGGAATATTTTATATTTAATTTATTTAATTAATTAAATTAAATTTAATTAATTAATTAATTTAATTTCTTTTTTTGTGGGGTGGTACAGGGTATTTAAGAGTTGAGCCTGCTCGACTTTAGCATTCCTTTCTTGTTTCCTTTTTGGTGGGAGGTACAGGGTATTTAAGAGTTGAGCTTGCTCGACTTTAGCATTCTTTTCTTGTTTTTTACTCGACCTTTTTAGGAACCAATCTACGATTTAAAAACAGATAAATTAATAAATGTCATATGTTGATACATTTATGTATGCATGCATTTACGATTGTGTAGTCTTTTCTGTTTCTGTTAACCTGTTGATTGCATATATGTACATATGTACTTAAATGCTGTATGAACTCCTAACATTTTTGAGCCATAAAAGATAGGGACATCAATTTCACATTAGATGGCATATTTTTGTGACCTTTTGGAATGAATTTGTTTGTTGAAAGTTGGTAGATTTGGTAAAAAGCTAGAATTCCTGCTTTCCGAATTTTTCCCGCGTTGGATTTTTAAAAACAAACGGATTTGACGTGAAAAGAGCAAAATTGGAAACACTGCATTATCAACCTTTTTAGTTAAAACCCTTCCATGTCAATCAAAAAGCTTTTCCCAGTGTTGCCAAGGCTATGTCAAAGCTCAAAACAACTGTCAACATTAATTATGAGATACTAGATTCTTAAAAGCAAATGCTTTCTTAATGTCATTAAGTAGCTTATATGGAGCAATTGAACACTGAGTTATATGTAATTATTAGTATATGTTTCAAACATGTGGATACGTGGTGATAAAATGTAGATCCTGTTGATATTCATTTAGCATATACAATTAAACAGCATTTAAACCAATGAACAATGTCATTTATGGACCAATACTTTGACAACACTGAAAAAGCTCTGACTGGTTAAACATTTATTTTGACATTTGGTTGAAGCTTTTTTTAGTTAAGCACAGAACGCGAAGGCGGTTGCTACGTGCGGCAGCAGGCGCAAAGTGGGGAAACATCGCTTTGTTGTTGCACAGATATACGCACCAAGGCACATTCCTTTGCAATAGTGTTGGTATACAGCTGTGGTTGTTTTTGTTTCTCTCGTATCACGCGTTTATTCATACATATGCAGATATTTGTGTGTGCATGTTTTCACTGTTTCTTCTGATAGATAAATAAATGAATAATTGAATTATACAACAAACATCAAATGTGGCGCGTGTGTTAAGCTTGCACTTTGTAAATGTGTTATTTATTATTATTATTATTTTTTTCGGGCATAAAACCTACCAGCAACGATTTTCCCAAAATGAGTAAAAGTCGAGCATGAGATCAATTCACTCAGTAAAAAGAAAATTTTGATATGTATATACATATGTACATTCATACATATGCGAGGTCTGCGATTTGTGGTTATATTAGTCACGCAAACTTTATAGTAAAATTATGTGGCTGTGTGATTAATAATGGCATGAGTACGTCACAGCTTGCATATACTAATTGCTTATCTGATGTGTAAATGTAACGAATTTAAGTACATACATACATACGTATTCGTATGTATGTAAATGCATTGTATATTTTTAGGTACGCATATAAGTTATTGTTAAACCTGTTTCGTTTGCAAATACAAAATTGCAAAGCCGTATAGCAGTAAAATACAGACGCACACAAAATAAAATATTAAAATCGTACCGTCGTATGGCTCAAAGAAATATGGCGTAGTAAATTCCACAAACTGTACATGTATGGATTTGTTTATGTACATATGTATATATAAATTTATGTTTATCCTTGATATACGTACATATGTATAAGGTCTGTTCGTCTGTATTAGTGTAAGGCTTTAATTTCCGAAACTCATATCAATAGAATTGAAATAATAATAAATTTTATTGTGGTGGTAAATGGAATAAAAAGTGCGAGCCGATCAAGTACATATTTACATACATACTTTAATAATTCCCATCTGGCTTTGAATATAATTCAAATACTGTTTTTGAACCAGTTGGAATAGTTTTGAGTTGTGTGAATTGGTAGTGAGTTGTAAGCAGCACTCCCCGCTATTTGAATATAACACCCACTAAGTCTGCTTACTATCGCCCACTACTCTCAAACCAAGTATTATGGTGACTTCATTTTTAAACTGAAGTTAATTTAATTGTTTAAATATAACCAGAAGTAAGATTGAGTGCTATAATCATTTAAAAACCGGCAAAATGAGTGCTCATATTTGCGCCACTGGAAAAGACACTTTAATAAAAGAAGGGATGCATAAAAATTAGACAAATAATTTACCGAAATCGATCTGCAAGCTTATTTGATGTCTTGGACAAGTTACAAGACGTTGACGTGTCAAACCTCTCCAAATATTTTCGATGATACTCAAATTTGGTTAGTAGGGCGGTCAGCTTTATAGCTCTACATTTTGGCTTTGATAAATCCAAAATGGAATTATTCATTGTAGTTGACCAAAAAATTGTAATTTGCAAGTGCCATAATACAAAACGGCCACCAAAATGAACACCATAATACCGGTCCAATAATTTATTTGTTTTGTGTTTGTTCGTTTGAAAACTGGTGCTTCCCGGACCAGTTCAATTTGAGAAACCCATATACAACTCAATATCACGCCAACCAATTTCAATGATTATTTTTTTATTGGAAAGGATGTACTTCAAGGGTAATTTTATAAGAGTTTGGTAATGTTCTGATTTTGGGCCCCATAGCAAAGTAACGGTAGTGGGGATTTTTGTTTGTTTAAATTTTAATTATATTTTATTATATTAATAAGCAACCTGTATGTGCGGCTTTTCGCTTTTTCCATTTTTCTAATAGATAGGTTAGCCAAAGGGTTCACTAAAGGTTCACGCTTTTGCTCGATTCATTTTATATATATTTATACCCTGTACCCAAAGGGTACAAGGGTATATTAGTTTTGTGCGAGTGCACATGGAACACACAGAAGGAGGCTTGGTAGACCCCACAAAGTATATATATTCTTGATCAGCATGACAAGCCGAGTCGATATAGCCATGTCCGTCTGTCCGTCTGTCTGTCTGTCTGTATGAACGCAAGGATCTCCGAAAGTATAAGAGCTAGAATAACCAAACTTGGTATACAGATTCTCCTGAGACCGAGAAAGGACGAGTTTGTTCATTTTTTCTGATCCACCCCCCCCCCCCCCACTCCCCCCTATTAACGATTTTCTATAACTCCCGTAATTCTTGGAATTTTGAACTAAAATTTAGTAGTCACATTAGGTTAGTTATTATATAACCGTATACCAAGTCTCATTATGATAGAATGATCGGAAAGAAAGTTATAGCCATATAACCAGGCCCAATGCACACATACATACATATGTACAAGTACACAAACACGCATAAGGCACGATTCTGATGTAAATGTAAATGTATGTATGCATGCATGGAATATTTTATATTAAATTTAGTGAATTAATTAAATTAATTTAGTTAATTAATTAAATTAAATTTATTAATTAATTTAATTACTTTTTTGTGGAGTGGTACAGGGTATTTAAGAGTTGAGCCTGCTCGACTTTAGCATTCCTTTCTTGTTTTTTTTAAATTTAATAGTATACATTACCAATAAAATTAGATAAACAAAAATTAGTAAATTCATGTCTTATGCAAGTGGCGCAAAATTGTTCTTTACATTTTAATATAAAGTGGGCAAAAGCATATAACGGCTATTTTAAAAAACATAAATTTATCACAGAGGACGAATAATAGGTTCACAAAGACAACGTGAAAAATATTGTTATTTTATCAATCTGATTTCGATGTATGAGCAATTGCAAAGCGAGCGTAGTGAGTGCATCATTCAAGTGGCGAGGAGTGTGTATTTATTTAATTTAAACGCCAATAAAAAAAACGTTTAAACGTGAATTGTAAGAAAGCCAATATAAATTCGTTTAATAATGGCGGAACCATCAGCGGCGTTTGCGACAGGTGAAGATGGTCAAATTCATGGCTGCAATAGTGATGTAAGTTTATTTTGTTTTCTTTTACAAACATACCCAATCAGTCATTCTCCTATTTCCAAAAAAGTTGTCCCTTTTAACGGAAATTGTGTGATTTATTTTCCGCGGTCTTCGACATCTGAAATTCGTTATTATCGATTGTTGGAGCTGCTGACTAGTATGTACAAGGTGCGTTGCAAAGTAAATAGGACTTTTTAAATCTAGCGCCCCCTGGTGGCGCTATCTATATGTCGACTGGCGTTAGAATCTGCTATCTTTATCGATTGTCCAGTGAGAATTTCATGACATTTCATCGATTGGAAGTGAAGTTATTGCGTTATAAGTGTCAGTATGTTTGTGTTATAAACATTAAATTTTGTTTTAAAATTGGTAAAACTTTTACCGAAACGTTTCAATTGATGGAACAAGTTTATGGCGATGATTGTCTATCCCGTAGCAGAGTGCACGAGTGGTTTCAACGTTTTAAAAGTGGTCGTGAGGACATAAATGACGATCAACATGTGGGCCATCTCCAAAACATCGATTTATCGCATTTTGACCGAACATTTGGGCTTACGAAAGGTGTGTGCATGGTTTGTTCCACACAAATTGACTGACGACCAAAAATTGCTCAGAATCCAACATTCGAAGCAGAAGGAGACTGTTTTGAATAAAATAAATTGATTTTGCCGAAAAAACCATTTGTTCTGTTTTTTTTTTTTAAGTTATGTTTACTTTGGAACACACCTTGTATGTGTATTTGATATGTGTACATGTCTGCGCATCAACTACATCTATAATACGTTGATCATCATCAATATACATACGTTCTAGACTTTTAAAAGGTCAGAAAGCCTTAAAAAAATCTTTGAAATACATAGCTACCGCGTTAAAATTTTTCAGATGCTATTTGTGGGCTTATTATTCCTGCGAGGTTTTCCCAAGCTCCCCCTTCTTTTTATATTTAAATTTGAATGTAAAGGGCGATAATACTTAATAATCATTTAATTGCTTTTAGAATGATAATGCCGATTCGTGCCACCTGCGCATTGTTGTTATAAGCGGTAAATCTTTGGCCAAAAAAGATATCTTTGGTGCCAGGTAAGCAGAGGCTAGGTAAACAAATCTTGAAATAAATTTTTAAAATATGTTCTTTGTTTTTTTCAGCGATCCATATGTCAGAATCGATCTGAATACAATTAACGGTGATATCAATATCGACTCGGTTTTAACAAAAACCAAAAAGAAGGTACATATAAACATTCGGCGGGTCCTGTACCCCACAAAGAACATATATGCTTTTGATCATCATGACAAGACGAGTCGATCTAGCCCTGTCTGTCTGTCAATCTGTACGGATGTACAATATGCTATTTTAGTTCCAGGTGCCTTATAGAATAGGCAGTACATGTGTTCAGAATTTTCCTACCACTCCCACGCTACTAGGGATGTTCCATAACTTCCGTAATTCTTGAAATTTTGTAACTCCACTTATTCATTGTGTGTCCGTATACCAGATAAGTCAATTTTAAAGGAAGTTATAGGCATAAATGTAATCTCTCCCCAAGCTCTGCCTGCAGGTGTTGTTTTTATTGCTGCTTTGGCTCAACTCTGTACTGCACAGATGCTTACACACATAGACACAATTCTTATGTAAATTACCAGATATATACCCTTTACATGAGTTCGAATACTGAAGTAGATAAAATCGATCAAAAAAATTTGTTTCATAATAGGTACAGAGTATTTCAAAGTCGGTGCCCCGACTTTAGCTTTTCCACTTGAAATATATATATTGTTACTTAATTCATTCCTTTATTTCTTTATTTGGTTAATTTTGTACAGACACTTAATCCAGCCTGGAACGAAGAGTTCATATTCAGAGTAAGAAGTAAACAATAACATATTTCAGTCCAACTAATATGACTCAACGCCCCTTTGCATGCAGGTTAAGCCATCTGAGCATAAGCTCGTTTTTCAAGTATTTGACGAGAATCGTTTGACTCGAGATGACTTTCTAGGAATGGTTGAGCTCACACTTGTGAACTTGCCCACGGAACAAGAAGGCCGCACTATTGGCTCCCAAAGTTATACACTGCGTCCGCGCAGGTCAGTAGGGTATGTTTATATTATTTGCAATTTGACATTGATTCTTTAATTTTAATTATTGTATAAAGTTATATTTAAAGTGGGATATTTGTGTGAAATCGCGTTAAGATACAAACAAGTGTTTGACATTGTTTAAGGGAAGTCAACGTCGCCTAAAACGCTGAATCCAATCTAATATATGTATATTGAAAACACTACTCGAAATCTTTCACTGGTATTCACTTAGAATAATCTGAAAACAAGTGCCCTTGCCGCACCTCGCTCACCTGTAAAGAAACTTTAGGCTGCTTAAGATATGTCCTACAACATTTGGCACCGAGGATGGTGCTCAGAAACCAATACAATATTATTCACAAATTTTACAATGTCATTCATTGTCTTTGCGTTGCTGTTTTGTTGAAGAAGTCCTATTTCAAAATTGTTAATTAACATACTATTTTACCTTTGCAAGTTTAAGATTATATCTAATACATATGTAATAAACGCACAGGTGTGTTACCAGTTCTACATAATTTAAAGTGGGTATTACTAGCTTAGCAGAACTTGAAAACAAAATTCAGAAGCAGATTTAGTCCGCTTTTCATTGAGTTTTTGCTTTATTTTAATTTCTCGTCGTTGTAATATTATTTTGTGGGTATGTGTTTATTGCTAATGCAATTACATTTTTTTCGCATATACTTTTAAATTATATACCCAATTATTTCTTATTTAGCGCAAAATCACGCATCAAAGGTACCTTGGAGATCTACCATGCTTTCATACATGAATCACGTGAAGAAAGTGAACCTGCAACCAACAATAGCGATGGTGAATGGGAGCATGTAGAGCCCAGCAATACAAATGAAACCACCGCTCAACCCGTAAATATAATTGATATTATTAGCATGAAATAGTATTATAAGTAATCTGACTTTTCGTAGCATCCTTTTCCCAGCGCAAGTCACGATATGCTTCCAGCCGGCTGGGAGGAACGGCAAGATGCCAATGGACGCACGTACTATGTAAATCATACGGCAAGAACAACGCAGTGGGAACGACCAACCAAGTGAGTGGACAAAAACATATAGATCCCTTTAAAATCGAGGTATACTCGTAAATGCTTGTACGTATGATGGGGACTATACCTCCCGGGAATATGACTGTTTCCAACCGATGATTTCAGAAGTTCTTCAAGTATATAATTGGCGACAGCTTTAAATTGCAAATTAGACTGAACGCATTGCCTATATTCTCTAAAACTCTAGGGAAAACTTACTACATTTTTTACGTACTGGACTTTGTGAAATCCTCGGGTCTTGCACCTGTATGTACATACATACCTAGATAATACACAGTGACCGTACGTCAGGAGCAGAAAATCAATAACCTAGCCATGGCTAATTTTACGATAGTTAAAAATTAATTTCAATTGCAAGGGAAAAACAGTATGGGCTGAGAATAGAAACAAATTGTATTGAAGTAAATGTAGCGTTGGATATTTGTATATATGTCTATATATATTTATATAACTTCCTTTTCATTTGACGTATCGTTATTAAACTTAACATAACTTAGGAACGCATAAGTACTAAAGGGATGTAGTTGCCAAGTTTGAGTAAAATGGGAGAGGGGGAAGCATCAGAGATCCTTGCGTACATAACAACGAACGGACATATCGACCTGTCTTGTCATGCTGATCAAGGTTTCCATTTCAAAATGTGTGAAAACCCCAAAAATTCAGGCCCCAAGAAAATTTCAATAAACCTGCAGTTGGAATATTCCAAAACCGCTTCGTAGTGCTAACATAGAACATAAAAGTCTTATATACGAGTATATATACATATAATTAATTATTAATTAATTAATTATTTTATTTGCATTTGTTTTAAATCCTTAACAGTTTAACTAGCAACAATAGCCATGCAAATGAGCAGCTTGCCTCAGATTTCCAAAGACGTTTCCACATCAGTGTGGATGAAACCGAAACAGGACGAGCGTCGGTGAGTTCGAATAAAAAAGCATTTTACATTAGTTGCTACAATTTAATGTTACTATTACTAAATTAAACTTTATTTCAATTCATGCATGGTTATTAATTTCGTTTTTTAATTAAAAAAACATACACATATTTTACAATGCACAACACATAACTAACTAAACGAATGCGTGCTTTTTTACATTATTAATATAAATGCAAAACGTATAAATAACAGTCACGTTGCGCTGCAGAAGATAGTAAGCACCAGCGAGAAACGTGCGAAGGTAGTCGTAACAGTTGCAGTTGCAGTGAGGAGGAGTTCTCCATAGATGAACTGAATAATCAAGGCAATTGCCAGAATTGTGGTCATGCGCAGCTGGACTTAAACAACGAAGACATAAAATACAGCACTTCAGTTGATGGGAATGCTACAACAAGTATGGGGGCCACTTCAACTGTTGAGCATTCAACGCCTCAAAGGGACCACATCTGTGATATACTTGATACAAACTTGTATCTGAGGCGCATTTTTGTAATGTTCCGAACTCAACAATTATGCATACATATTGCTCGAGTATGAAACAAACTTGCCAGATTTGTTTTTAAAGCTGATTTCGATATGCAATAGGTTTTTATTTATTGCTGTTTTAAATTTGCCGGCTAGTGGTCAACAAGTACTTTTGAATATATCAAATGTTTAAACTTGTATTCCTTGGTATATCATATTTTATCCTCACAGCACGAACTTTGTTTGTTGGAATACTTGTAGCATACTACAGACTATTGCAAAGTATTAGAATGATTTAAATTTCTGAATACGTGTAAAGATTAGAATAGTTTAGTGTGAATATGTGTAACACATAGAATGAGTAGTGGTCTTGATCAGTGTGACAAGACGAGTCGATATAGCGATGTTCTTCTCGGACATCTAAGAGTTAGGGAAACCAAACTTAGTATCCAGATTCTCCTATGCCCGAGAAAAGATGATTATTAATTTTTTTTCTGACACAACCACACTCCCCTCCATTAGTGATTTTCCATAACTCCTGTAAATCTTGGAATTTTTCAATCAAATGGTAAATACCTCCAGCTAGTGATTATGTGGTCCGTATGCCAAAATGCATTATAATAGATCAATTTGAAAGGATATAGCTATAAGCAAGGGCGTAGCCAGCTTTTACCAAAGGGGGGGCCAAAAAATTAAAATGTTGATTAAATATTGCCCGATGCATTTAAAAAATAATTTATGGATATGATCGATGAAAAAACTTCAACAAATCCAACGCTGATCCATCTTAAGGCGAAATAGTGCGTCATAATAATGAACGTGTGGTCGACTTTATGTGGAAAAATTTTTTCTAGGGGGGGGGCAACGGCCCCCCCCTGTCCCCCCTGGGTACGCCCTTGGCTATAAGCTCTGCCCGCAACTGTTGTTGCTGCTTTGACTAAATTCTGTACTGCACGCATACACGCACATGTAAATGTTTGCTATGAAAACTGTACATAAACATATGTATGTATCCACTTAAATATGTATGTGTTGAGCTATTTTACTTAATTAATTGAATTTTCTTTTTCTTTAATTTTTAAAATATTTTTTAGTTTTTTTTTTTTACTGTGGGAGTGGGAACAGGGCATTTATGAGTTGAACCCGCTTCTCTCTAGCATTCTTTTCTGATTAGGTATAAGATGTATAGATGCGGTATTCACATTCCTGTGCAATAGGAATACATTATTCCTTTAATTTATTGCCTTTTTTTATTAATTAATTTTTATTGTTGCGTGGATTGTGAATTATCTTTTTTAAAAGAACTAAAAATCAATATAATGTATAAGTACAACTAATACTGTTTTAGATTGTTTGTATTTAGAAATTGTTAAAATTCGTGTTTAATTTGTTGTTAACAAACCATATTAAAACCATAAAAATACAATTAGGCTTTTAATTAAACGTTTATTTTTATGTATTTTTATTCTGTTTTCTGTTTCTTCCAATGAAATTTCGTGACACACAAAATTGTATTATGTATCATAAGACTGAAGACACCGATCACACAGACAGCAACGCTCCCTCAGAGATCTCAGATCCATCAACGCGACGTAATTCCGAAGAAGACAATGCGGCTGTGAATACAGAACAAGTAAATTTTACATCTCATTAAAAACACATTGAAATAATTATTTCGTCAAATTTTATAACATTATTATGCATGATTATTCAATAATATATTTAGAACGGCATGCATTTTGAAAATATCAAATTATCTTATATATATGCATATATGACCATTTCTTGCAGAACGCCGCAAGTGAAGAGGAAGCGCTGCCACCTCGCTGGTCTATGCAAGTGGCCCCTAATGGGCGCACTTTCTTCATTGATCATGCGGCCCGTCGAACCACTTGGATTGACCCTCGGAATGGACGCGCTAGTCCTATGCCCAACCAAACGCGCCGTGTAGAGGATGATCTGGGACCTCTGCCCGAGGGCTGGGAAGAGCGTGTCCACACCGACGGACGTGTGTTTTACATAGACCATAGTAAGTCCTTTAGTTTTTTGAGTGTAAAGCAATGTAAAATGAACTTTTCCGCACAGATACACGCACTACGCAGTGGGAAGATCCGCGTTTGTCTAATCCAAATATAGCAGGTCAGGCGGTGCCTTATTCCCGAGATTACAAACAAAAATATGAATATTTCAAAAGTCATATTAGAAAACCTGTAAGTATCAAACATTTTTCAGCAACTGGTGCCCTATAAAGGGTCTTCTTAATTAAATATTTTAGACAAACCAGCAATTAAATCTTTGCATGGGTATAAAGAAATAATAGTTTTTAAATTTCTTTTGTTTTCCATTTTCAATCCATGCAGACAAATGTACCAAATAAATTTGAAATACGCATACGCCGTACATCGATATTGGAGGACTCATATAGAATAATAAGTTCGGTGACTAAAACCGATTTACTGAAAACTAAGTTATGGGTAGAGTTTGAAGGAGAGACTGGTTTAGGTATGTTAGAGGAAACATTGAAATAATTGAAGTTGTGTTTTAACCAATTTTCGCTTTAAGATTATGGTGGGCTTGCTAGAGAATGGTTTTATTTACTATCCAAAGAAATGTTTAATCCTTACTATGGACTTTTTGAGTACTCGGCGATGGACAACTACACTTTACAAATAAACAATGGTAGTGGCTTGTGCAACGAAGAGCATTTGAGTTATTTCAAGTAAGTACGCATTAGCAATTCAGGTGTGGTTAAAATAATTGATATGGCTTTTAGATTCATTGGTCGTATAGCGGGCATGGCTGTTTATCATGGCAAACTGCTGGACGCTTTTTTTATACGACCCTTCTACAAAATGATGCTGCAAAAGGCCATTGACCTAAAGGACATGGAATCGGTTGATACCGAATACTACAATTCACTTATGTGGATCAAAGAGAACGATCCTAGAATTTTGGAATTGACATTCTGTTTAGACGAGGACGTATTTGGCCAGAAGAGTCAACATGAACTTAAGCCCGGTGGTGCCAACGTTGAAGTGAGCAACGAGAACAAAGACGAATACATCAAGTAAGTAGTTGTAAAACAAAAATGATTTACATTTGAGATAAATTGAATATCAATTTTCAGACTCGTCATCGAATGGCGCTTTGTGGCGCGTGTCAAGGAACAAATGACTGCCTTTTTAGATGGCTTCGGTTCAATTATACCTCTGAATCTAATTAAAATATTTGATGAACATGAATTGGAACTGCTTATGTGCGGAATTCAGAATATCGATGTTAAAGATTGGCGCGAAAACACACTTTACAAGGGTGACTATCATATGAATCATATTATCATACAATGGTTTTGGCGTGCTGTGCTCTCCTTCTCAAATGAGATGCGCTCGCGTTTGCTGCAATTTGTTACGGGTACATCGCGTGTGCCTATGAACGGTTTTAAAGAACTGTATGGCTCCAACGGCCCCCAAATGTTTACGATTGAAAAATGGGGAACGCCTAACAATTTTCCACGCGCACACACCTGGTAATTAACTAAAAATTAGTATTGTTAAGTTTTCTATATTATTTATATTTTTTATTACAGCTTTAATCGCTTGGATCTGCCACCATATGAAGGATACTTACAATTGAAGGATAAGCTAATCAAAGCCATTGAGGGCAGTCAAGGCTTTGCGGGTGTTGATTAATAACGATGGCCTTTTTCATCCTATTGGCTATGTGTGTAATTGTGGTATAATTCTGTTAATGACTATGTCGCAATGCCAATTACACACTACATCACAATTACACCGTCATCCAATGAGTTGCTCAGTAGCTGCCGCCAACGCAACAACATCTACACAGCTTATAGCACCAAATCGTGTACTTATTTTAGCATGTTTTTTAACTGGCGCCTACAAACAAAGCACATATATTTTAAAAGAGCATAAAATGCCAGATGAGAAACATAAAATGTGCAAAATTTACATAAAACTATAAATGGAAGAATATATATTAAATAACAAAACTAAAGGAGAATCAAATTTAGATATGTAGGTATGTATGTATATTATATAATTGGTTAATATAAACATTCCAAATGATAATGGCAGTGCTCATTAATTTATACCAAGTTAAGTCTGTCTACATCAAATTTAAAACTCAAAATGTAAGAGACGAAATCATAAATAAAAAAGTTACTCCTCAAATGCTGTAAATCATCTAACTACTAGTGACCACTTACGTTGCTAGATATAAAAACCTACACTCACGAAGCTTAAATAGATTTTAGCACTTCCGTGCCAAAACTAAAATACCAGAATGGACAATTCTTTTGTGTTTGTACTGAGTGAAAAGCTCAAATGAGATCTACATCTTATTGGTCGCAGTGCACTTTGTTGTATCCTTTACCCAAAGGATATAAAGGCCAACGGTGCAATAAATAGAACGGTCTAGTAAAATGTGTATATCAAATTTCTCTTAATATCATGCCGATCACAAATATATAGTACTCGTATGTATATGCGTCATTACTTTATTGGATCTTATGGATGTTACCCATCATCCCACCACTCAGGAAAGGGGTGATCGTAGTAGTAGTACAGTCAGTAGAGGTTTGACAGGTTTACTGCAGTTACATTGGATCGATTCAATTAACGGGAGATGCCGGTCTTTTCCTTGATCCAGGTCAAGTAGCTGGTGACACGAGTGAAGGCAGCTGGGTAGCCCTTCTCGCAACCGGCCGAAGACCCGAATGAGGTCAGACCAACCTGTTCCTTGTTAGATTTCAGTACCAATGGGCCACCGGAGTCACCGTTGCAGGTAGATACACCATTAGGGGTGGACACGCAGATGTTGGAACTGGTGATGATCGTACCGAATGTTCCTTGGCAGGACAGATTGGAAATAATCTTCATATCAGCATACTGCAATTTTGAGGCAACAGAGCTAGAGGAATCTGAAGTGCGGCCCCATCCGGAAGCGATAGCCTCATCTCCACTATAGGTTGAGTATGAAGACTCAATCTTTGGCAAAACGACGGGTTTAATAGCATTTGTGTATGAAACGGCAGGGATTTTGATAAGAGAAATGTCATTTTTCAGGGTTTTGGAATTCCAATCCGAATGAATTATGATCTTGCTCTTATCCACAGTATGCTTCACAGCAGGACTTGTGCGAGAAGTGCTGCCCAGATTAACAGTAACTGAGTCAACGCTGTAAATGACAAGATAACAATTGGATACGGTATACAAAATTGTTAATCTCCATACTCACCCATCCGTGCAATGGGCTGCAGTTAAAACCCATTCGCTACCAATAAGAGAGCCACCGCACCATGCCGAGCTGGAGCCAATTTTCAAGGATAGACCAACCTGATAGGGGAACTCATCAGCTGCGGCGTCCTTTCCGTTTGTTATACGACCCTCAGGCCCATCAGCAACTGGCACCAAAAGCTCACGGGGCTGTATCTCGCCCAGGAGCGCGGCGGCAGATGCGTAGGACACAGCTAAAGCAAATACAATAAGAACCTTCATGTTGACTACAATGAATAGTATTCAATCTTTTTGTCCAGCAAATGCCATTTTATAGTATTTTTAACCGGACGTCGCCACTTAAGTCATTTAACTCTAAGGTTGTTATCTTTAGATGAGGTTTAGACTGCCCCAACTCTGCCACGCGTATCGAACTGCTTTCTAAGTCTTATCTCCTTTCGCACTCTTGTTTGAAATTAATCTTAGTTTTAATTATGTTTTCTGTCTAATTAAAAAGTTAAGATATTGGGTGTGATTCAGCATAAAATAAAGTTTTAATCTTTATATAAAATTATTGAAAATTTGATGGGCGCTAGAGATTTGCGTCGCTTATAGGTTCAATTACCGTACCACGTGATTATCGGAACAGACTGCTATAAAGGCACATTCAGCAGTGTAAAAGCTTCAGTTAACCATGAAGTTCCTTATAGTGCTTGTCGCTGCTATCGCACTGCTTTCTTGCGCCTCGGCCAGGACCATTACTGGCCGAATTACCAACGGCAATAAGGCCTCTGTCGGCCAGTTCCCATATCAAGTGGGTCTGTCCCTTAAACTGAGCGCTCTTTCTTCTTCCTGGTGCGGTGGCTCTCTGATTGGCAATAGCTGGGTTCTCACTGCAGCCCATTGTACCGAAAGCGCACAATCCGTGACCGTGTATCTAGGTGCCACAGTGCGCACTTCAGCTGAAGTGAAACAGACCGTCGACAGTAGCAACATCATCATTCACTCCGGATGGAACAGATCAACCCTGCGCAATGACATTTCACTGATCAAGATCAACAGCGTTGCCTATTCTTCTCTGATCAAGGCTGTTAGTCTACCTTCCGTGGCCAGTTCTTACTCGACCTATGCTGGTGATAATGCGATTGCCTCTGGTTGGGGTCGCACCTCTGATTCATCTAACTCTGTGGCTACCGATCTGCAATGGGCTCGTCTTCAGGTCATTACCAACACAGTCTGTGCCGCGACCTATGGCACTTCTATTGTCGTTAGCTCCAATATTTGTGTGAGCACACCCGGTGGTACATCTACTTGCCAAGGTGATAGCGGTGGCCCATTGGTTCTGGAATCGAATAGCCAACAAATTGGTCTGACGTCCTTTGGTGCTGCTGCTGGCTGCGAGAAAGGATACCCTGTAGCCTTCACTCGTGTTACGAGCTACTTGGATTGGATCAAGCAGAACACAGGAATTTCGTACTAGACAGTTAATGAATACTATGAAAAAACAAAAATAAATTGCAAGTAAAATATATATTGATTTTTGATACTGCAAGTCCCTTGGACTGAAGATTAGTGGTATTTCTCTTGGCTGACGTAGTACTGTCCACTTTTCTTTGTAATGATTATATTAAACACATAAAGTGGCCCCTCTTGAGATAAGCTCAGCCCCATTAATTGGTCTAAGTAGTTGTTGCTGTAACGACAAAAATGAAAAACAATTTTGTCTCCTCCGAAGCTTACGTATATATGCTTACTAAATGCTTTAGTTAAAATAAGGGACTTCCGACATGGCGTCCACTGCCATGTCCATTCGATAGGGCTCCATGCGCTGTTAGGCCATAAATGTAATGAAATTTTCATTCTATCATGTTCGTATACACTATACATATATTACATACAGGTATATAAGTATCATACTTCATCTTATCAAAGCTTTTAAAATTAAAAACAAGAAAGGAATACTATAATTGAGTGGGCTCAACTCTTAAATACTCTGTACTTATTCCAACAAAGAAAAATAAAAATTGTGTTCATATTTTTTAAATTAATTAAAATTAATAAAATAAGAAATATATAACACGTACAGTTTCAATAGAATACATCTACAGTATTTATGTGGCTGTGTGTGTAAATGTGCAGTACAGAGTTCAGCTAATGCAGCAACAATAACAAGGGATGTAATACTCGTTCTTTCTCGGGCAAGTTTGGTTATTCTAGCTTTTGTTCTTGCTGGGATCCTTGCGCTCATATAGACGGGAATTGCTATATCGACTCGTCTTGTCATTTTGACGCTCCATTACGCGACGCTATAGACTCCATGGTCACATGACGACACATACCCTGCTTTTCTGTATTACCAATCTATTACTCCACACTTTTTGCTGTCACGGATTCGGTATTACAGAATCGGTAGGGATCAGTTTTCAAAATTCATTGGCCATCTCGGATACAAATTAAAGAGACAGTAACCTTGGAATTCTTAAAGAACGTTGTACATATAGTGGAAAAATCGAAAATTTGTTTACAAAGACGACAAAGGAGAAAGTTTTAAATAAAAATAGGCGGAAGATACTTTTTCTGAATAATATACATTGCCAGCGTTTATGATATGCTTTAAAATATTAATTTACTTGTTTTTAAAATTTTTATTCAATTTTTTTTAAGGGTTTTGCAGTTTAACATTTTAATGAGAATAATTGAAGAGGGTACAACGCTTGGAATTCGAGCGGTGCGCACGCTTCATGTGCTGTTTCTTTTCTGTATGTACAAAAACTAAACATAAAGAAAATTTAAAAAATAAAGGCAAACTTAGATGCGAATTATTCGTACGCGATTTTTTAAGCAAACATATGCTTTTGTTTTATAAAGATTTTGTTGTTGGCCGAATGGTATGAATGTATGTTTTTAGGTATATCGTGTGAAGATAAAACATAAACTAGTTTAGTTTAGCGTCATATGGTTTACCGTTCGTCTCACAATTGTTTTCTTAAATCGAAAATAAAATTTAAATCCTTTTCTTGTTTATCAAAGTTCTTCTTAGTTGTACATATATATATATATATATATGATGAAAATTTACCATTTTGTTTTGATTTTATCAAAGTTTTCGCATATTTTATATTATATTTCCCGGAAAATATATATTTTCAATGTAATTGTTTATAATAATAAAATCAAAAGAAAATTAACGACAATGTTTCAGACTACTTAAAACATATTTCTTAAAAAAAAACAGATTATTGGAATACTTTAAACCTATATGATATACCTATTAATAATTAAACGCAAAAGAAGTCGAAATATGTGAAACTCGGCTAACTAAAACATAATTTCATCTTTTTACGGCTTATTTGTTAGGAGCTGTCTGATTTTTTATATTTACTTTATAATTTATTTAAATGTAAATATAAGTGTAACCTTTTGTTTTTCTCATTGCATTCACTTTAATTTGTAATTAAAGAGCTGGCTATAATATTTATTATTTCAAGTATTTTTTGCATTGAGAAAGAACGTCAATCATCACTTTAACTACTTGCACACTTTTATTATATATATGTATGTACTATCATACAGCAGCTAGATAAAGCTGATTGTGCGCGTGCGTGCATGTATTAGTATTTAATTTTCCTAACTTAAGTGCTAAGTAATTCAAAATACGCCATGACACGTTTCAATTATAAATCAAGTCGAAAGTTTTTAGATTTCGAAGGCGCCCTTCTAAAGTATAATACGTTTACATAACTATAAATTAATTAATGCTGTACAAAAGATTTGAGTCCACTATCCTGTGAAAAATAACAACTCTTCTGCTTGCCGTTTCACATTTGACAAGCTCACATTTTTATTTTCGCTTTACGCTTACAATTTAAGCCGAACTAAAATTAAATAATAACTTAAATTACGAATGCATATTATCTCATCAACAATAATACCTAGCATAGTTTACCTAATTTATACATTTATTAATGGATGAAGAGTGAGGGCTATAACAACGCTTCTCATCATCTACTTCTTGGTATATAAGGGCAGCGCAGAGGTCGGCGGCAGGGTGTTCATAAGAATACCGGGTTGCAAGGTTGAGGTCGTCGTGGACAACGGCAAGGTGCCCGTAGTGCTTGGTGTTATGGTGGTTGATCCCGTGCCTGGATAAGAGCCAGTAGATCCATTATATTTCGAATAGTCTTGATTTTTGCTACTCTTCTTATCCTTCTCCCGCTCGCGGTCCTTTTTTTTGCTACTGACGATTGCACTGTTCATGCCAGTACCACAAAAGCTTGCCACAGATGCTGCTACCGAAGTTGCTGGAAGGACAAATGCGGGGCCCATTGTTGGTGCTGTTGCCTGTGCCATCGAATAGCTGGGCTCCAACTTATTCTTCGATATCTTAAGTTTAAGTGGCGCCGCTGGTGCGGATATACTATCGTTGGCTGTGGCGTGCACAGCAAGCAGACCATTGGGATTTCCGGGAACCGTATTGGTCTTGATAACTAGTTTAAGCGAGTCAGCAGTTACAACGCCAGCAACATCCTTAGCGCGATCTCGTTGTTTATCCTTTTTATGTTTTTTGCGCTCTTCCTTTTCCGACTTATCTTTGGACTTGTCTTTTTCTTTGTGTTTATGCTTCTCCTTCTTCTTTTTCTTCTCTGATTTACTGCTGGGACCTGTTGTGCTCTCTTGTTTAATATCAGGCAATTTAGTTGTGTCCGTATCCACGTCACCGCGAAGCTGTTGTAAATGTGGCATCGCTAAACCTAAGGAATTAACCATTGTTGACTCCTTTTTTAATTGCTGTCCTGGCGGCATGGGCTCAAGCAATTCCGCAGGCGGCTTGGGACCTGGCATGGTTAACGCCTCGGGTTTGAGAAGCGACGTATTAGTTGTACATAAACTTTCTTTGAGTAGACTACGCACCAAGTCGGGCGTTGTTTCAATGCCATTAGTCATGGATATCGGGGCATGTTTTTCATGTTCTAAAGTACCATTGCCAGTGTTGAATCCATAACCTGGCAATCCACTGCTATCCAGCTTGCGAAGCTTATCACGCGGGACGCTGTCTTCATTATTTAGACCACACTGACTGTTACCTGTTTCATTGGCGCGCTTCAACGCACTGATATTGCTGCCATCGCGACTTGTGCCAGCAAGTTCATTCGGCGCGACCACTAATTCCGTTGACAGCTTCTTGTTCGGCGGCAGCATGGACTTTAATCCATGACTTATGCTATTCATAGTTAAGGATGCTGCATTTGAGCTAGACGCAGAAGTTAGAGGCAAGTTGCTTGGCCCAGAAACGCGATGTTTATCCTTTTTAGTAGGTGTGCCACTTGTCGAAATGCGCTCCTTTTTTGGGCTGTCCTTGCGCGTATGTTGGTTGAGCTTATATCCCAGGCTTTCATGTGGAGGAGGTGGTAGCAGGCCGTTATAATGCGTTGCTGTTTCCTTTTTGATATCGCTCCACTCGGGACTAAACAAAGAGTTATTTTTTATTGGCTGTTGCGTCTGCGTTTGGGGAACTGATGTTGAGGCTGCCTGCGAAGAGGCGCCTGCACCTACATCAAGCTGTATTGGCGGCATATGGCTACTAAAGTTGCTGCCAACACCATTGTGACCATAAGGTAATGTAGTGGTTAGCTGTTCATAAAGCGGTATGTTATGGACGGATGAAGAAGACGACGATGATTTGGAGCGGTGCGTGTGATAGCCACCACTTGTGGAACCAGTACCACTGTTGTTGTTGCCCGACATGTAACTGCTACGTTGCTGGTTACCATGTACAAGATTGTTCGATGAGCTGTTGCTGCTGCCGTAGGACGGTGGTACGTTGGGATATATTTTTCCTCCACTACTGTTACTTGATTTTAATGCATCTTTTGTTGAAATACCACCTCCAATAACCGATGACGACGATGAAGATGAGGAACCCCGACTATCCAATAATGACGGCTGTTGCTTTGGGTTTGGAGGCATTTTGTGTGTGCTGTGCTGCGGCAAACCCATGGATGGTAGCGCGCGCGATGACTTGTGATAATCCATTGGCGGTGGCGGACGTGCTTGCTGACCACTTGAACTTCGCTGACTGCTGCTATTGGAAGACATGCCGCTGTTGCTGCTGCGTTGCACCGAGGCTAATGAAGATGACGATTGATGACTCGAGGTCGCCCGATTGTTGTAGCTTGGCTGCTTTGACTTGTGATCTGCAAAGGAAATGCACAACTTAAGTCCGATATCACACTTTAATATAGAGAGAATATTATTTATACAAAAATTATTTGCACATATTTATAACTTACGAATGACGCTTACGTGTATACATACATACTATATAATTATGATAAGAAAACTGTGGGCTATCAACAATACTTACCACCATGAGCATCAGGAGGTATTGAGCCTGGATAATTAGATATCTTATTGTGGTTGGATGAGGACGAGCTCGCGGATGAGCCGATCGCTGCCGTGCGCTGGTGTGAATGTTCTCCGCGTCGTTGTTGGGGCACCATAGCCGGTGGTGGTAGCAATGCCGCTACCTGTTGCGCAGACTGCTCACGACTATCGCTGCTGCCGTTCATCAGCTCCGGTGGTGCAGTGATATTAGAGTGATAGCCCTTCATCATTTCGCTCATTTTCCAGTCTTCTTTCGGTTTGCTATCTTTACTATTTGCTGCAGTTCGATTGCTTGCGCCTTGAGCTATCGCCTTGATCGAATTAAGTTTGGACTTAAGGCGAGCAGGGCTTTTCTCATAAATGGAAATGAATTCATCGGTCAGCTGCTTCAGCAGTTCCAGTGAGACGCTTTTATCTACATAGTAAAACCAATGTTTACCCTCGGTCGATTGCGGAATTTCCCAGCGGGACCATTTACAAGCCAAATAAATGCAGAAGCAAGCAACAACAGTAGGCCGATATTGAAGGCACATCGAAGTCAAATGTAAGCTATAAGGAGGAGCCAGTTATTAGAAAATATTTTTTTCAGTTTGAGACTTAACAAATTTCTAAAAAATATAAACATCAACATTATTTTTAACAACCAAAAGCTCCTTTGGCAGCTTTTTTACAGTTGTCCGATCTGAATGATATGATATAATTAAGGCTTCACATGACAGACTAAAGTCCTCCCTATTTTTAGGGAACTCTCATCACATAATAAAATATGACCATAACCACTCACAGTACCACTGCGGCTGTTTTGAGGATAAATAAAAAAGTCTGATTTCGATGAATGGTGTTGCTGTTTTTCATACCTGTTAGAGGCCAAGAAGTATGACGTCTGTGCCAGATCCTTGCATGCTAAAATATATCATAGTAATTTGTTCAATACATAGCTCATTTGTTTGTGTCTATGTATATCAAATACATATGTATATACGAATATGCATTGATACATTTTAGAGCGGTGCTGCCTACCTTTGACCAGCTGGCACGTGCGCACCACATGTGTGTGTGGATGATCGATGGCCACATCGAAGCCTAGCGTCTGCAGCAGTACGTTCTCGTTGAAGACGAGCTCCTGCGCTAGATCCGCATAGTTTTGCTCGGTCGTCGGTGGTAGGCACTTGTTGGCGGCTCGTATAACATGCTCCAACTTGCGTGGCTGTTCTTCGACCTTTGCGGCCAGAAACAGACTAGCCGATGCCATCGATATGCGATGAAAATGTGTAAAAGAGTGAAAAGCATAAAACCGATGCATGTATACAATTGCTGTATTGATGCACAACTGGGACACCTGCAGCCGCTGGCCCATTTCCTGTATCAGGTATGCAGTCAGTTGCCTGTAGTGCAATTCTTCGTCAGATTTAATGCCACAACGGCGGCTTGGAGAGTTTGCCAACTGATCACTACTAAAATACCAGATTTTATCTTTCTCGAATGGCAAATTATTATTAGCATTGCCACCGGTGGCGACGGTACCGCCACCAAGCGAGATCGATGCGCTATTAATATTGGAAGCGGACGAAGTATTTGATGCGCTTGAGGATGGTATTGTTAAATGACTCATTTTGACCAACAGAGAGCTCACACGTTTGATGCAATTTTGTATTTGTTTGGATTTTTTAACACGCGCAACACTTGTTTTGCTCAACTTTTTTAAAAATCAATTCCACATGCAAGCCTCTATATTACCGACGCAATCAAAGATTCTCTATTTGATTTCTCTTTATGTCGGCTTGGCAGCTGCTTCTCTGCGGGTTTTACTGCTGTCGCTGGCGTTGAGTCAAACTTTTTTGTCGTAGGAACTACGGTACAAAGAGAGTTTTTTCTTTGTCGGCTGCGCCAAGTGCGTTAGTATTTGTTGTATTGTCGAGGGGCTGTCGCAGTAGGTAATGAGGAAAGGTGGCTGCGGCTGCCACACATTTTCTACATAAAAACAGCAATGCGCTGTTATTGAAGAATCATCATACAACGCTCGCGTTACAAACGTAGGCTACCACTTTCCATACTTGATATATGTACATCAAAATATAAATTTATGGAGTTCACTTAGTGTTTTTACGTTGTATTTTTGCAATTATTTCACACTTGAATGTGTATGGTGTTTTCTGGGAATTTCGTTTGCGACGTATACGAGACAACCGCGACACACACGACGTGCGTACGTCGAATTTGTGTTATGCAACTTTCCAATCAATTCATTATTAGTTGGGTTGTACTTGCGTTGTTTCTATAAAAACATTATACTTTCAACACTTTAACTGTATTTATTCTGCAAGGCATCACCAAAATATGATGACACACAAATACGAGATTTTACAAGCGCAGAAAAAATGTATCAAGTATGGCTGTCGCAGTCGTTTTCCAACCCTTAGCATTTCCTAGAGAAGAGCGATTTCTGCAACACGAGTACTCAAATACTTTTTGGCACTGTTGAAGTCATTGCCGATGTTTCGATACTCAAAAGAACTGATAAGACAATAAATAGTTTATCATCCAGAAGTTAAACCCACCAAAATATGGTAATTTAATAATTTACAATTAATTTATTAAAATTTAGCTTTTCCATTTGTTACATCGCACGTACGTGGAGATGAATCGATATAGCCGTTTCGCTAGTACTTTCTGTTGTAATTGAACGATATATTTATATGTAACATATGCATTATACGCACATATATTTATTTTATAGCCACAAGAGGCAGTAACATTTGACATTGACTTCAAATTTCGCGCGCCATAGGCAGTGCGACCGCTTTATTACACAGTAGCGTTATTGTTTTTTTTTTTTTTTTGTTACTGCTGCTGCTGACGTCGTTTGTCTAAGCCACGCACATGTTGTGATAAGTTTTTGTGTTTATTATAACTCTGTTGTTTAGTTTGTTATTTTAGTGTTTGGTTTTGGTTTTGACAAAAAGTATGCAACAACATTTGACGAATTATCATCCGAATGGGTTCACTTTTGTGAGAGTAACATTTGAAAACATCCGTGCTTTGTTGCTCTCCAACATGTGAAGAGAATGTACCACGTACACATATCTATGAGTACATGCATAGAGCCAAGTGGCGCTTGTTATGCCCAATTGACGAAGAAATGCACATTTCCATGCCTGTACGCATACATTTTTGCTTTACCATATAGTATAAGTAAATATATTTCATGCAGGCGAAAAAAAAACTTTTAAAGAACTTCATGAGAGGTAACATTTGAAATTATATGTATAAGATTTTGTATGACCACTATTTTTTATGTCGACAAATTTCAACCAATAATTGATGGAGGCCACAAATTTTTTTTGGTTCTTTAATTCAATTTTGCATTTTTATTCAATTAAACGGTTTTAATTTCCATGAAATATTTTTTTAAATGTTGTTTTAATAATCTTTCATCCACATAGTCGTAATGAAGTTTCGTTGTTTCATTCGTTGTTTACGTGAAAAATATTGTTAGTACATTTTTGGCAGAAGTCATATTTCTGAAAATAAAATAACTAAATATTTGTGCATGAATTTTTAACATTATAAACTTACTTCTCTTGTGTCCGTTTTCTTTTTACAAAATCCATACAGAAAGCAAGTAGTTAGATCAGATGTGATTGCACCTCGAATATGTCTTTGTATGTTTTGATTGACTAATTCAATTTTCCTTTTTACTTTTAATTTTCACTATTTTTTTCTAATACTGTTTCAATTATTTTATTAGCCTCTACTCCTGATGTCCATTTTAGTTTTTGTATTCACTGTTAACGTAAAGGATATGACATGAACAGTTTGAATTTGAGTCATATCTCTGAAAATAAACTAGCTAAATGTTTGTGAATGCATTTTTAGTTTTTCAAACTTACTTCTCTTGTGTGTGTCTTCTTTTTACAAAATCCACACTGAGAGCAACTTGTGCGCGCAGATTTTGTTGGCTCCCTTGCAATTGTTTGATGGCTTATTTGTCGATTGCTTTTCTGTTTTGAATATTTATCATGAATGTATGGCATAACTCGAGCAGATTTTCTTTTAAGTTCCTTGCTATATTGAAAAGTAATATTGCACCGACGAAAAGGCTTACCACAGTCACGAGAGGTATTTGAATGTGTAGAAATATAGTCGAAGTGCTTTATTCTTGTTGCACTTAATTGGCACTGTTTTTCTTTTTTTTCCATTTTCCTTTTCTTAATTTTATCAATATCAGAGTTACCTATTGTAAAATACGAGTTCCGCTTTAAGCCATTATACGTTCTTATGTCAGAGCGGTAACATTTTTCCGATATACGCCTAGTCTTCAATATTTCTTTATTGTCAAGAATTTTATTATTGTCCAGTGTGCATGGACTGCTACATTGGCATTTGCCTAATTTTGGATCTATGTGATTATAGCAGTAAGCTAAAGATACTCGATTACATATAATGTCCCCATCGCATACACATTTAAGTGTATCGTCTTCATTAGTTTCTCGTTCAGATCCTTTGCATCCTGTATCATTTTCAAAGCTTCGCTGACTTTTATTATTTTTATGTTGATTAAATTCTTCAAAATCAGATCCTTCACAAGTACAAATTGTATCTCTTTTTGATATAGGGTTCACTTCTTTGCTTTGTCGATTGTTTTCATTAGATGTACATAAAATATTTGATTTCTGGTTAATATGGTTAACACAACAATCTGAATTCTTACTATTTAAAACAGTGTTTTCATCTACTAAATTATATGATGAAGAATCCAAGTTAAAGTATATTTCATGACCCCGCGGTACAGAAATATAATTACATGACCCAACATTACATGTTTTCTCTGATGGTTCGCATGAACACAACAGTTTTGTAATGGCTACATCGCAGATACATTTAATTGTATCGTCATCCTTTTTTTCCCGTTCAGAACTTCCGCATCTTGTACACAGGCATGATTTTATATTGGATTGACTTATTTCCTTTGTAACATTATTATCATTTTTATAGTTTTGCTGGCTTTTATTATTTCTACGTTCGTTAAATTCATATCCTCCACAAGTACATTTTTGATCATTTTTAGACATATGACTACTGTTATAAACTCGACTGCATATTATGTCCCCATTGCAGAGACATTTAAGTGTATCGTCTTCATTTCTTCCTTGTTCAGATCCTTTGCGTCTTGTACATATGCATACATTGTTTTCATTTTCGAAGCTGTGCTGGCTTTTTATACTTGTAAGTTGATTGAATTCTTCTAAATCACGTCCATCACAAGTACATATTTTATCATTTTTCGATCTAGTATGACTATTGTTATTCTTCCCTTTCCTTCGACGTTTGCTTTCGCCACATGTACATAAAATATTTGACTTTAGGTTGCTATGGTTCGCATAATGATCTGAATGTTCATTATTTAAAATATTATTTTCATCTCTTAAATTATATGACGAAGAACCCAAGTTGAAATATATTTCACGACCTCGCGGTTTGTAAAAATCATTGCTGGACCCAACATTAATTTTGTTCTCTGATGGTTCACATGAGCACAAACATTTTGTTTCGTCTGTATATGATTTTTCATTTGGTTGTGTTTGCTTATTAATGTAACATGTTGAGTCAACTTCTCTGTTTCTTCTTCGTTTGCAACACCTCGAACATAGCTTCATTAGACGTGATTGTTTTACTTCATTTGATTTTACTCCATTTTTAGGTCTTTGACAAATATCTTTGTCTTCACATTGTATATTATTACTATCCAGTAATCGTTCACTCGCATCATTATTTACCGACGCATTTTTTTTATAATACCTTTTAGGCTTATGACAACTACAATGGTTATTATTTTTTTCTTCACATTGTGTAGTATTACTCTCCAGTAATCGTTCATTCACATCATTTACTGGCGCGGTTTTTTTATAATACCTTTTAGGTTTATGACAACTACAATGGTTATTTTTTTTGGCATGCGTTTCTGCTGGATAATATATAGAACATGATCTTGCTTGTCCTTCAGGCAAGTTACTTTTCTGAATATTTACATCTTCAATTGGCCTGGTATTAAAATGTCGTCCGCAGTTACACATCAAAGCATTAGTTATGTTTATTTTTTTTACGTTTTGATTGCATTTGCATGCGATATGATTACTCTTTCTACCTTCAGTAAGCGAGTTTTCTTGTTCATATTTTAACGTTATGGAAGCATTCGAGTGTGGACACCCGAAATTGTTGTTATTAGTGTTTCTGAAATAGGCACAGCTTTTGTTATGACACTGTTTGTAAAAATGTTGAGAATTTTTTGGACAATCTTGCTCATTATTACAAACTTCAGAATTTCTATCGATTTTTGAACTCAAAAAAGAATTCGTGCAATTATCACACCGTTTTTGTTCACAGTAATTATTAGTAAGTAGGGAACTGCTTTGATTTCCTGACCCTTTTCCTGAATGTCTACTTGAATTTTGGTCCTTAATTATGCAGCAGCAAAAGTCATCACCATCCACGTTGTTATACTCCTTTTGTGTTGTTTGGAATAGTTGCGGGTTTTCGTAAGAACTACTGGAGCATTTTATGAGGTAAGGGCTATTGTACATTTCTGTTTTTCGTTCTCTTTTTCTATCTTCACCTTCGAGTAAATGAAAACACTTGCCACTCGTATTTGTTGATAGTTGATTTGTCCTCATTTCATGTACTATTGACTTTTCCGATCTGTCCAACGTATAATTATAACATTTGGGTTCACTTACGCTATCGTGACTCTCATCTTTACATACAGCGTTTTTTTCCATTTGGGAATGTTTTTGAACATATACAAAATCGGAGCAATTCATTAAATTAAAATAATTATTTGTTAGTTGGTTTGCGGGTACGGCAACTAAATTACTACAGTGATTTATTTTCTGCAACTTATAGCTATATTGGCTTGAGCGGCATTCTTTATTGGATTGAGATTGATGGCTAATATTTTCATCCTGCGTATGCTGGTCATTTGTATTATAAAAAATATTTGCAGACTTGCCTGAATAATTTGTACAGTTTGATCGGCCATTAATTTTAAAAGAATTTTGTTTAGACCTTTCACCTTCTATACGTGTATTACTAACAATATGTTGATATCCACAGCAGGATGATATATTACGTGGTCTTGAGTGTTCAGCTAATGTTGGACTTATTTGCCTGTAATTATCCCAATTACTATATTTATTCGTATTTCTTTCTGAAATCAATCGGTCTTCTGAATCGTTTTTAAACATATTTAAATCCTTGTCAGATCTAATTTTGAGCCCTTCATGGGTTATTCCACAATACCAATCCCTCTGAGAAACACTATCTTCCATGTTTTTGTTTCTATAATTTTCCTGTGCGACACATCTTTCTGGGCTATATCTTGTATTTATATCCCGCATGTTTGCTATTTCGTTGTCTTTATTGCATTCATTACCTTGACATGGCAGGTCATCATTATTTAAAACATTGCATAGTTTCTTATTTTTCCAGTTATGGTTCAAGCTTTCTCTATTAACAATAGATTGATTATTAAAATTTGAATTGTACGTAGATTGAGGACAACATATCGAATTTGATTCTTCTTTTATATTTCGAAAATCTTCTTCTTCTCCCTCTTTTAAAGTCGTGTTATAGCATTTGCACGCTAACTTAAGACTGTCGTTTTGAGGGCTTTGTTTTTCCTTAAAATATTTTTGATTGGCTTCATTATTTATATCAATGATGTAATCGTCTATATAAATTCCACAAGGACTACATTCATTTGATTTCTGTATAGTCCTCTTTGTAAAAAATGAGTTCGAGGTTTCTTGGAATTTTTTTTTTTCCTTATCAAAATTGCATTTATTTTGGTTCTGTTCATGGTAAATTGTGCAACTGCTGCGATTCGGTCGGTCCTGATCGGATTCATATATTGACTCATTTTTTGTTGTTTTACTATTAAAATTATTACTTAATATGTCATTTGATGGGCAGTAACATATATTCTCAGATTTATCAGGGATTTGTGCTGAATTACAAATTATATTGTAAGGTGGATGAATACGCATTTGTGTCGAAAACACGCCAGATGGTACATTTTTGAAGCATTTCTGACTTATGTTCTTTTCGTTTTCATATGAAAGATTTTGCTTTGTAATATTTTGATCCGAATTGCAAGTAGTTGGATCATTGTTGGAACCCGTATGTACCTGAATTCTTTTATTAGACACGGACTGGCTGTTGCTAGAATCATTACAGATACACGAATTTCCATTTGGGTTTCTATATTCGTTATGAATTTCTTGATGTTTAGATTGATAGTTATTTCTGTCTAAATAAGTGCTTCGGTTTTTCAGTCTACTGTTAAATTCCCTCAAACCTTTCGAAGTAGAGCATTGATCGTAAAAGTCATCTATAAAACAATTACGACAATACGAACAACATTTTTCCTTACCTGAGTGATCAAGTTTTTTATCAGTGTGTTTGCAATGATTTGTTTTGTCAGTTTCGTCTTTTCGTGGCAAAACTTTATGGCGACCAATTAACTTGTTTTGTACTTTGCCGAGATTTTTGGTGAACCCTTTTGCAGCTTCCTGAGAATAAGTAATATGCTTTTGCAAGTTTCCGTTATAAATTCCACAACTTTGGGGCTCTGATTTAAGCGAAATGTGAGTTACTAAGCCTTTCAAGACAAATTTTTGTTTCGCTCTTTTCCTATGAGGTTCATCATAATCTATATTTAAATATGGCGTAGGGTTAGAATTTCTATTTTTTATTTCATTAGATTCATAACCATTCGGATCAATGACTTCATTATTGTATGAACCATTAGAATCGTTTTCAGAGTTTCTATGAAGAGTACTTTGATTGAACCTGTACATATTACTTAAAACTATGGTAGCGCTTCTTCTATTTGAATCAGTAATTGACCTTTCAGGCAATTTTTTTTTAATTGATGGCCTCGAAGCAAAAATACTCCTTTTTCTTACCATTTCCATTTTACATGAGGTACAATATTGGTTAAAGTCCTCAAAATCATATCCTACTTTGGTATTTTCATGGTTTCCGTCCTGGTTGGGATTACTTTCATTGCACTCATACTCAGACGGTTGGTGTGGTATTTTTTTCCTGAATGATGTCGAAGGGCTACAAATATTTTGTTCTTGACGATTGTGGTTAATTAAATTATCGGCTTTGGAATTACATAGTAAATGTACTGCATCGGTAGTTTGGTTTCGTCTATATTCAGCATCATTTAATCTAATGCAACTGGAGCTTCTTGAGCTAGATGATGTTTCTGTGAGAAAAGATTCTGCATCGCTAAAGTTGGCTCCACTAGATTGACGATTAAATTTCAAAGAATTTCTATTCACAAAAACTAATTGAGTTTCAACGTGATCATTTATGTGTCTTCCTTTTACTTTTTTAAATATGTTTTTCAGCTCAGGATCAAAACTCTCCCCTTCCATTTGATTCTTTAGTTCTATGGCATACGTTACATTTTTCCAATTTCCTTTATAATGTTGTTCATCTTTACCAAATGATTCGTTGTTCTTTGTCGCACTCTGTGAATAAATTTGGTCCATATTTCTTTGATTTCCGCCAGTAGAATGTGGTTCAGTGATATACAAATTATTAAACTTGCGCCTTAATTTATAACTTGTGCAAAATTCACTGCAGGTTCTTCGCAGCTGTAATCGCCCTCCAATTTCAAAGCCATTACTATGGATATCTCTACAAGTGCTTTGCAAAATTGGTGCACTGTGGTGGTCATTATTGCAACATACACTCTTCGCCCGTTGAATAAAAAATGCCCTGTTGCTGTCATTTGTGAGCAGTATAATTTCATACTGGGAGCGCTTTTTGGGACTACAAGTTGATTTTCCAAACAAATGCACATCTTCTACCGATTCCAACACTAAGACTTTGACATCATCTGCAGTTCTTACCTTTTTCATAGATTTACCAGAGCACTGGGGCACCACCAGTTCTTTCTTAGAACTGCACATGTTGTAAAGTAGTTGGATTTGCAGCCGCTATTTCCCATTAATTTATCAAGTTCATTTTTTTAATTGTATGTATTTTTTATTTAGTATGTGGAAATAAATGTTTTGGATTTGGAATAAGAACTGACAGTTATTAAAATCATATATCTCTGTAGGCTGCTAGGCAGACAACAGAGTAGTATTGAAAGATGTAACATTTACGGGTATAACTTAACGTAATTACTCTATTTGGCCAAAAAACAAATATAAAACAAATCGAGACAGCTTAAATGGGGCACTTAGCCGCTTTAGACACCCAATGAGGAAGCCTAGCGACACCACGTGAAATAGCAAAGTATGAGGACCCCTAATGTCCTCAACTAATTTAAAACCCTTAAATAAGTGAGAGGTGCTCCATGTTGCTCCATGGTGCATACAGTGAAGGTGAATGGGATTCAAAATCCGAAATCCATCCGCCACATCATTTGCTGAATACAAAATTGAACTGTTTTATTCTTCAAAATTTTGCTTATTACAAGTATATACACATTACAAGTATATACATAGGATCTACACTTTTTTCCTATCTTCCACATATACTCTCTCTTTCTGCAGTTCTATTTGATTTACATTTGTTCTATAATTTCTTGCCTTATGTGAATGTGAACTGTATTTCCTATTGGTTGTTTTAATCTGTGACCTGCATATGATATCGCACTAATCGATATCAGATGCTTACATTGTTTATGGTCTGTCTTTAAAAATTAGTCGTCTTGGAAAATATTAGCAGGCTTCGTTGACTTTTCGTTTTTTTTTTCATTACATTAGGTTTATTATGTTTGTGCTAAGTGAAACATTTAACAAGCAGAAGGAGGATTGGCAGACCCCACAAATTATATGTATACAACCAATTTATGTCATCATCTTGGACCTACATACATACATACATATGAACGTGTACGCAGTACGCGAAATTTTACTCCCTCCCCATTTATTTCATTCTCTCCTGTAAGAGCAACACAACGAGAAACAGTAACACCAAGAACACCAACTGCCTAACATAATGCAATCGATCTCACACACACATGCACATAGAGCAAAAACGCGTCTATTTAAGATTTTACTACATAAAAGACTACTGGCACGCTCTCTTTCTCTCTCTTTCTGCTCTCTTAAAGAACAGCGGGGACGATCTAAAATGGCGGCCGTTACTTCTTTTAGATTAAATGCTAAGCTTGTTTGTATCATTCAGTTCGACTCGTGAGTCCGCAGCGTTCAGACATGCGACGCATACTTGTAATTCTCGGTAAACTTGTGTTTTTCAATTAATTTTATAAAATAAAACCAACTGTGTATGTCGGTGCCGGTACGTGTGCATTAGTAGAGAAAAGTGAAATGCGCCAAAATTCAATAATTTTGATTTGAATAGTGATGCGCTAATTTTTTTTCTCTACACATACATATATATATATATATATATGTATATACATATTCAGATGTATATAATATATAAGAAATCGTAATTAGCGCGAAACCTTGTGTAGTGTTCTAAATAATTTGAAAATCAATACCAACTGTGGCTGTCGGTGCCGGTGCCGGTGCGTGTGCATTTGTAGAGAAAAGTCAAAAGTTACACACACACGCACATACAGCAAAAACGCGTCTATTTAAGATTTTATTCATAAAAGAGTACAGGCACGCTCTCTCTCTCTCCCTTTCTGCTCTCTTAAAGAACAGCGGGGACGATCTAAGATGGCGGCCGTTACTTCTTTTAGATTAAATGCTAAGCTTGTTTGTTTCATTCAGTTTGACTCGTGCGTCCGCAGCGTTCAGACATGCGACGCATACTTGGCTCTTCGTATAATTGTAATTCTCGGTAAACTTGTGTTTTTTTAATTAATTTTATAAAATAAAACCAACTGTGTATGTCAGTGCCGGTGCGTGTGCATTAGTAGAAAAAAGTGAAATGCGCCAAAATTCAATAATTTTGTGTTGAATAGTGATGCGCTAATTTTTTTTCTCTACACATACATATATATATGTATATACATATTCATATGTATATAATATATAAGAAATCGTAATTAGCGCGAAACCTTGTGTAGTGTTCTAAATAATTTGAAAATCAATACCAACTGTGTCTGTCGGTGCCGGTGCCGGTGCGTGTGCATTTGTAGAGAAAAGTCAAAAGTCACACACACACGCACATACAGCAAAAACGCGTCTATTTAAGATTTTATTCATAAAAGAGTACAGGCACGCTCTCTCTCTCTCCCTTTCTGCTCTCTTAAAGAACAGCGGGGACGATCTAAGATGGCGGCCGTTACTTCTTTTAGATTAAATGCTAAGCTTGTTTGTTTCATTCAGTTCGACTCGTGAGTCCGCAGCGTTCAGACATGCGACGCATTCTTGGCTCTTCGTATAATTGTAATTCTCGGTAAACTTGTGGTTTTTTAATTAATTTTATAAAATAAAACCAACTGTGTATGTCGGCATATAAAGTGAAATGCGCCAAAATCCAATAATTTTGTTTTGAATAGTGATGTGCTAATTTTTTTTCTCTACACATACATATATATATATGTATATACATATTCATATGTATATAATATATAAGAAATCGTAATTAGCGCGAAACCTTGTGTAGTGTTCTAAATAATTTGAAAATCAATACCAACTGTGTCTGTCGGTGCCGGTGCCGGTGCGTGTGCATTTGTAGAGAAAAGTCAAAAGTCACACACACACGCACATACAGCAAAAACGCGTCTATTTAAGATTTTATTCATAAAAGAGTACAGGCACGCTCTCTCTCTCTCTCCCTTTCTGCTCTCTTAAAGAACAGCGGGGACGATCTAAGATGGTGGCCGTTACTTCTTTTAGATTAAATGCTAAGCTTGTTTGTTTCATTCAGTTCGACTCGTGAGTCCGCAGCGTTCAGACATGCGACGCATTCTTGGCTCTTCGTATAATTGTAATTCTCGGTAAACTTGTGGTTTTTTAATTAATTTTATAAAATAAAACCAACTGTGTATGTCGGCATATAAAGTGAAATGCGCCAAAATCCAATAATTTTGTTTTGAATAGTGATGTGCTAATTTTTTTTCTCTACACATACATATATATATATATGTATATACATATTCAGATGTATATAATATATAAGAAATCGTAATTAGCGCGAAACCTTGTGTAGTGTTCTAAATAATTTGAAAATCAAAACCAACTGTGTCTGTCGGCACTGTGCCGGTGCCGGAGCGTGTGCATTTGTAGAGAAAAGTCAATGAAAAGTGAAATGCGCCAAAATTCAATAATTTTGTTTTGAATAGTGATGCGGTAGTTTTTCTTCACTACACATACATATATATACATACATATACATATGTATATAATAAATAATAAATCGTAATTAACGCGAAACCGTGTGTAGTGTACTAATATAATACATTTTTTGCTGTTTTGCTTTTGAAATGAAGTGTCCAACAACACTTGATGAATTCGAGTAGTGCGATGCAATTATAATTTGTTCATTCAATTAAATACGCAAAGCGTTTATGAATGTTGAAGTAATTCTACACTCAAGGTATGTAAACAATTTTTTAATATAACAATTTATATAAAGAATATATGATAATACATATGTACATACACACATACATATGTACATAAACATGCTAGCCACAGACAGGTTGCGAAATTACTTAAGAAAAAAGATGAGATGTTTTTAATGTGCATTTACAGTTGCATGGAATTTTTGCTAAATGTGGCCGTTACTTTCATGCGCTGCGGCTGTGGATGTTATTGCTAAATTTAGTGTGAGTATATGAAACAATACTGAAGTCCCAATGAATAAATGAGTTCAAAAAGGCAGATCTATAATACAAACAATTTTATATACATACATATATACGGTGAATCACCGGTAAATATGCGAACAGCTGCACACGACACAAAACGATTACGTAATTGGCTTTAAAAAACATTCTCGCGCAACAAAAATGTGTGTGGAAATTGTTTGTGTTGTCGGGGGTTACCCAATTTAAGTTTACCAATGGTTTTTTCTTATTTATTCTTTGCTTGCATTCTTGTTCTTTGTTAAAATGCTGTATATTAGTGGTGGTTTAATTTGCGGTTGCCTTTGCTCTGGATTCCATACCGTAAGGGAGATACAAAGAGAAACAAAAACACCAACAACAGCAACTGCCTAACATAATTAAATCGCTCACAAATGCAGAAAAACGCGTCTAAATAAGTTCTTACTTCAAAAATAGTACTAGCATGCTCTCTCTTTTTATGCTCTCTTTGAGAGTTCCAGAACACTTGCAATGGATCGTATGACGGTCATTTGCAATATAAGAGTAAGAGAGCGAGGCAACATTTTTGTTGATACATATTGTTGTAGCAGCATTGCGGCTTGACGTTGGCAGCATATTGCATATACATACATACATATGTGTAATTAAATGCTTTTATATATAAATGTGTCACATGGTAGGCAAAAAATTTTATTTATATTAAAATATTGCACTCCATGTTTTTTATTACATTTTAATTTATTAATTAATTAAATAAATATAATGTTGTATATTGTAAAAACCAAGCAAATAATAGCGCGTTTAATTTATATAAACATTTTGCACTCCTTGTTTTTTATTATATTCAATTAAAATTAATTAAATAATTGTAAATTATGCATTTTTTTATTTAATCCATTTATTTGTGGCCATCAGGCACGAGTGTGCCATACTGCACCTAGGAATTTACATGACAAATCATGGCTTAAAATTATAGCTTAAACGCTAGCTGTGGCTGGAACGTTTACGGATTGGAGCCTGTAAAAAAAAAAGCTGAGATGTTAAGGTAGTCATTGTGTATTGATAGCATGATTAATTAAATAATTGTAAATTATGCATTTTTTTATTTAATCCATTTATTTGTGGCCATCAGGCACGAGTGTGCCATACTCCACCTAGGAATTTACATGACAAATCATGGCTTAAAATTATAGCTTAAACGCTAGCTGTGGCTGGAACGTTTACGGATTGGAGCCTGTAAAAAAAAAGCTGAGATGTTAAGGTAGTCATTGTGTATTGATAGCATGTGTTAAATGTTGGTGAAGTATTCTACTATGCGCCATCATGATGGGGAAATGGTAGCCGGGTGAGTTCGCAAAGTATGCATCATAGTTTTGAATCCCATTTAGATTGGGTGCGTATAGTGGCATTTGTTTCACTAATTAGCATGATATATATTTTATGTAATTTAGATCCTCCGATGCAATTGTTAGTTTTTTACCAATTTTGATTAGTATGTTATACATTTTTTAGCTTTATATAGCATTTAGCAAAGCGGTAAAAGTATGGGTAGTGTGTGTGTGGTTCGCTCGGGTCCGTCCTACTGGATGAAAATTTTGAAATGAAAATGTCACACAATTTTGCTTTTTTTTAATTGATTATGTACTGCGCCGTAAGGTACTATACTGTAGTTAGTAGAACAGTTGTGCTTTGCGCGCGTCATATACAAGGAGCAGCGTTCCGCTGAGAGAGCTGCTCAGCACTTGTACTGCTTTGAACGCATCGCGCGGACTGACGTAGTAGTTCGGAATGTAGCTTGGTAAGAAAATCAGTGTGGCCGTTGCCGTACACTGCTTGAGTGGGCGGGCGCTACGACTTGTATTAATTTGAATTTTTTAAATTTATAAATCTATCCACAAAATTTGTGTACTGAAAAAATATGTCATCCGTCTTCTTGATTAATTACTTATAAACAAATAATATGCTTGTAAGATATTCCACAGTTAGATTTTAGTGGGAATCGAACCGAAGTACTATGACGTGTGGGCAATACACTCTACCACCGAGGCTAAAGCCGATTATTTGTAGGCGGCAGCTTATGTAGCTTATAAGGCAGTAGTTCACGCACTGCATTTGTAAGTGAGCCCACCTCAACACGGTGCCAGAGGTAACGTAATATATTAAAAAACGGAGACGTGCTAGAAAAACCCTAGACCCGAGTTCAGAATCGAACCCAGCATCTATGTTTTCCCGGCCGCAACGTTCTCCAATATGCCACGCCACTTGTTGATGGACCTGCGGCAGAGGCTACATAAGAAAGCTGCTACTTATATGTAACTGGCAGAGGCAATCGGTACGGCAGCAAAGTTAGGAGAACAGCACAACGAACATGCAGTGCCAATGGAAGCAGTTTTCAGTAAGGCAATACATTCGGTAAAGCAGCCTCATCGGTAGGGCAGTGAAGTCGGGAGAGCATCGAAACGAACAGGAAACGGAAGCAGTCTTTACTTTTAGCAGCTTATCTATGTCTTTTAATTATTTACATGTAAATAATTTACATGTAATAAATTTTTTTTATAATTGTTAGTGGCACAAAAAAATAGTTTGTTTGTGACTAATTTGGGCGGACAGTTTTTGTAGTTTATTTAATGGCACGGGAAAAATTGTTTAGCCATGATCGACATACATATACAATGTATATATGTGTGTATTAAAATTCTTTTATATATCCGCCAGATGAAATGCAATTACATTTTTATTTGGTTTCGAATATATGTACACATAGTAACGTATTTTAGCAGCGTCACGGCCATTTGCAACACATATAGAGAGAGTACATAGAGTAGCGACGGCAGCAGCAGCACAATAATTTGCGGTACTTGTGTGCCATTGCAGAAATAGTACGGGAAACATTTTTATGTTCCTATTGCTAAAGATGTTGCTGTGTGTTGATATGCATACAGTTTGTTGTGTTGTTGAGTTGTTTGTTATTGTATAGGCAGTGTGTAGCACAGGGCATTGCATCATTTCGGCTTGACCATTGCCAGTATATTGCTGATTGATGTTTCCTGACGACATTTACACAACAATATGATGGTGTACACAATTAATTAAATGATTTTTAATATATTATATGGCGGCAAATGGCAGATGGCAGGCGACAAATAAATAATGAACGTTTTATTTATATTCATATTATAATTATAATTTTTGATGCATTTTATATATGCGGCAGCGGCAGTGGCAGTGGCAGCGGCAGCGGCAGCCGCCGGCAGATGGCAGGCATAATTAATAATAATTATTTGTTTAACATATACATATAGTACACATGTACCATAGTACAACATTATATTATTGTTTAATGAACGATGCACGCATTTGTTTAGCAGCAGCAGCAACTCACTCACGCATTACAATGTATATTATTAAATATACCATCACTAGCTTGAAATAGCAATAACAACAACAATAGATCGCATGGCGGCCATTTGCAATACCATATAGAGAGAATGAGAGAGTAGATAGAGTAGCGGCGGCAGAAGCAGCAGCAGCCAGCAGCAGAAGAAGAATAATTTGCGGTACTTGTGTGCCATTGCAGAAATAGTACGGGAAACATTTTTATGTTGCTATTGCTAAAGATGTTGCTGTGTGTTGATATGCATACAGTTTGTTGTGTTGTTGAGTTGTTTGTTATTGTATAGGCAGTGTATAGCAGCACAGGGCATTGCAACATTGAAGCATTGCATCATTTCGGCTTGACCATTGCCAGTATATTGCTGATTGCTGATTGATGTTTCCTGACGACATTTACACAACAATATGATGGTGTACACAATTAATTAAATGATTTTTAATATATTATATGGCGGCAAATGGCAGATGGCAGGCGACAAATAAATAATGAACGTTTTATTTATATTCATATTATAATTATAATTTTTGATGCATTTTATATATGCGGCAGCGGCAGTGGCAGTGGCAGCGGCAGCCGCCGGCAGATGGCAGGCATAATTAATAATAATTATTTGTTTAACATATACATATATAGTAGACATGTACCATAGTACAACATTATATTATTGTTTAATGAACGATGCACGCATTTGTTTAGCAGCAGCAGCAACTCACTCACGCATTACAATGTATATTATTAAATATACCATCACTAGCTTGAAATAGCAATAACAACAACAATAGATCGCATGGCGGCCATTTGCAATACCATATAGAGAGAATGAGAGAGTAGATAGAGTAGCGGCGGCAGAAGCAGCAGCAGCCAGCAGCAGAAGAAGAATAATTTGCGGTACTTGTGTGCCATTGCAGAAATAGTACGGGAAACATTTTTATGTTGCTATTGCTAAAGATGTTGCTGTGTGTTGATATGCATACAGTTTGTTGTGTTGTTGAGTTGTTTGTTATTGTATAGGCAGTGTATAGCAGCACAGGGCATTGCAACATTGAAGCATTGCATCATTTCGGCTTGACCATTGCCAGTATATTGCTGATTGCTGATTGATGTTTCCTGACGACATTTACACAACAATATGATGGTGTACACAATTAATTAAATGATTTTTAATATATTATATGGCGGCAAATGGCAGATGGCAGGCGACAAATAAATAATGAACGTTTTATTTATATTCACAATATGATGGTGTACACAATTAATTAAATGATTTTTAATATATTATATGGCGGCAAATGGCAGATGGCAGGCGACAAATAAATAATGAACGTTTTATTTATATTCATATTATAATTATAATTTTTGATGCATTTTATATAT